GGCGATATAATTCGCATTACAAAAAGATTCAAAAACTATTGTTGGTCATCGTTGGTAGAAAAATCCGTTTTTTTGATTGTGTGAGGTTTCAGAAAGGCTCATAAATCAAGAATTCCAAGCTCATCGGTAATTCAACCTAGTTAATTGCAATTTGTGGCTAGGGAGGACGCGCTAGCGTTTCCGTGATTAAAGAATTTTGAGTGTAAACGCCCCTACACAATAGCGATACATGATTGACAAAGACTGTATAACCACGAATTTCTCAAAGAAAACTCGGTAATGACTATGAGATTTCGGAATCTGCAGTAATTGGCGAAGTTATAGCTAGTGTCGACCAAAGTTAGCCGTAAACTGCGGAGCAGGCGCGAATTGGCGTTTGAGAACGATTTATTAAACCGAGTATCACGCAGTGGCGGTCGTAGGATTTCGTTCGGTGAGGGGCACGGGAAAATTTTTTTTCAATTTCAACTTTCAAACTTTCAAATCAATTCTTTTGAAAAATTTTCAATTCCAAATTTAATTTTCAATTTTTTAAAATCCCTCCCTCCTCCGTAGCCCACCCTTTCGGACCGCCACAGGTAAAGGGTTTGACTGGGTGGTCCCCGCAATGTACGTCCAGCCCGTGCCGTCAAGACCGAAGATGAAAACAAAGAAGAATTCATGAAATAATATAATTTAGAACAGAAATGTGGATGAGAGCTACATGTAGATTGGCGTCGAATAAAAGCGAGGCGAAGCGAATGAGGACGCTAAAAGGCGGTAACATGTCAAGAAACACAGTTTGAACATGTTGAAATATGCTTCTAACCTGCTCGTTTGTCTATGTTGAGTTACATGTTGAAACATGTATCTCTACATGAACAGTGAGCATGTTAGAAAGTAGTCACTACCTAATTGTAAGAGCTCTGACACTGAATGAAATGGAATGCCGCGGATGCGATATCTTATCGCACCGCATGGACTAAGTCCATTTTATTCGCACGAAAAGCCCATTTCGCGGGGACTTTCGTGGATATCATTCCTGGAATCAGCTCATCAAGACGCATCTAACTATTAGGGTGAACGGCAAAAAATGGGATAGCTTAACTTTTATTACATTCTGACATTTTTTTATTCTGATCGACAGCAGGCAGACTGCAACGCAAACGTTGCTTACATGAGCAACCTTCGTCTATCATTCTGGTAACGCTTTAACGCTCTCTCTCACAATCCTACATATGGCGCCGTAAAAAACTCAAGCAGGGTATTTCAAACATCTCTCAATCTTGCGCTGCTATACCGTAAAGTCAAAAAGCAAGTGACATACCATTCGAAAGAGCTCTCAATGCTCTTTCAGAAATATTTTGAATATGTGCGAATGCGCCTTGTTTCCAGGTGAAAAAAGTAAAATACTAGAAAAACTGCGATTTTTAGCGCAATAAAGAACCAAAAAATCTTGTTATGACCTATGTTTTCCAAAGATAGACTGAAAATGAGGTAAGCTGTACATGGATAGAGCGTAAAGAGCTGTATAAGGTGGTAGCCAAAAAGTATGCGTTCGCTTGCAAAGAAGTGATTAACACGTGTCCTTTTTTTCGAAGCTCCTAATAATCATATCTCCTGACTTTCAGCGTTGAGGCCAGCAAGCCATCTGAGTTTGGTACTCCTACCTTCAAACATTGCCCACTGGTATCTGGGATAGCTTATAATTTTCACTGCGCAGAGGGGGGCTCTCGTTACTTGTGGGTGGACTGAATAGGCCGCGACGCGGCGTTACAGTAACCCGCGGGGAACAGTGGGGCAGGAAACGTATTTATCCATATTTATGCATCCTAGGTTCCCATTGAAGACTCCTATTTATTGTATCGAGAATCTTGATTTCCTTTCCTTCTTTCCTCGAAAATCGCAGGATTTTCAAAACTTTTCAGGGGTCATGTTGAAAACGAACCCTTATGATTAAAAGTTCTCCAAACTCTGTCGCAGTGTCGTTTATCTACGATAGAATGTAAATGACTCCTACGAAATGATCACTTGGTAACGTATGTTTTTCTTATCTTCTAAAGGGTTTCTGTACATGTTTGGTCAAACTTTGAATAAGTATTATAAACTAATACAAAAACAGTCTGTAACCTCAGGAGGATGAAAATCTTTGCATTGCGATTTATGCTGGCCGAATTCTATTTAGTACCAACCTGCCGCAAGCGGCGCCTACGTTATCGACAGTTACAAGTAATGATACACACTCCTGCGCAGGTACTGCTCGAAGTCTACGGTTTGTCAAAGTGATTAAGTTTGTATTTCAGCAAGCATAAAAATCATGAGGTATGGACCTCATGTAGGTATAAAGGTATGTGCCGAAAGTTCTGTCGTTTGATTTCTGAAAATTCGTAACTTTATGCCATCTCGACGAATTTGCTTCTTTTTCGTTCTATTGGAAAGAAGAAGTCATTCTTTTTGTAGCGGTGTCCCGTCGAGCTTCTATGATATAAAACATTCATTGCAGAGATAAAAATGGAAAAAGAAGACCACTTAAGCTTTGACCATTTTAAGTAAGGTCGCCGAAAATCTGGAACGTTGCAGAAAAATTTGAAATTACCAGCACATAAGTTTTTTAACCTACTGTGAAAAGTTATAATTTTTGCGTTCACGATAGAAAACGCCAATATTGGTTAATTTGCCTCCTTTCTCGAAAATCATAACTTTTCATTGGAACGTACAAACAGCACAATTTTTTCAGATGTAAAGAGTAAGTCATACAACTTACTACTATACTGAGAATTTCGAATTTTTCTGCGGCGTTCTAAATTTTGGCGACCTAATTCAAAATGGTCAAAGCTCAAGTGGTAGTTTTTTTCCAATTTTTTCTCTGCAAATATAGGTTGAAGCTCACCGAGATGTCTTCATCTTTTTGATGATAAAAAAGCAAATCCGATGGGACAGCAAAATACTGCAAATTTTCAAAAATGAAACGACAGAATTTTCGGGACAACCTAATCTTATTCGAAAGAGAAAAATATACATACTATAATATCTTTCAAAGCTAAAAAGTTAAATTGCTTTTTTTCTTGAGAAATCTGCTGTTATTCTCTAAGTGTCTCATTTTGTCTCATTTTTCTACCGTCCTAATATATGCATTCCATTCCGTTTCTTCATTGCGACTCAGGATCCTTTTCTTGTAAAAAAATACTAAGAGACAAAAAAAGAAGAAAAAACATTCACCGGGTTGTTTATAGGTGCTTTCCCAAACTGGACTAACTGCAAGCACTACCATCTTAACCTTCCAGACATTCTGCTTTAGGGTTGCTTAGCCTCAACTACAGACATTTGTCTCCATTTGACTTCTTGCTTCCATCTATTGCGCCTTGCGATAAACTACAAGGCAACTGGTTTTTCGTCCGTGCAGTATGGTAATACACGGCCTGAAAATCGTATGGGTGGTCACCCATAGGTATACCGTGTGGTTGTAAATCCATCTCTCTTGCTTTGTACTCACTTCACCACAAGGTGCTGAGCCTTCCCTCAATTAGTATAACTTCTTGCGAAAACTTAGCATTTCTGGAGTATTCAGCAGCTCTAGATGTTCTGGAAAGACTAAAAATCAGCTGTGCCTGAGTACTTGCTTTTTACTGAAAAATACATTTGTGCTGCAGGTGCGTTCGTTTATGTATCTTAGGTGTGCACCTTTGGACTTCCATAACTTTCTCTTTCAAGCATTTTTAATGATTTTTCAGCTTCATTTGCACCTTTTACATCCGGTCTAGAGAGGTTCCAGACTCTCTCTTTGCATGGGGGAGTTGTTTGAGACAGTTGGTGGGCTCTTCTCAAGGCTCTATCGTCCCGTTCCCCCAACGGTGCAGACCATTCGCCTGCCATAGGTTAAGCTGGTAGAAAAAGCCTCAGTAAAATCCCTTATTTTGCGCTCGGGTATGGAAACAGGAAATCGGTAAATGGTTACTCGCTATCTAAAGAAGGAGAATGACCTGTCATTTCAGCGATGGAACGCGACACATGTCCAAACATTTTATGCAATGCTACTCTTATATCGGTACTCCCATGTGTGCTCCATTATATAAACAAATAACTGGTACGCTACATTCAATCGTTATATTTAAACAGATGGTGCCCCGGTCTCGGCCGGGAATTGGGCTACTTATCTCAACGCGTTGAGACTTACCGCCCTTATCCATATCTGCGACGAAATTGTGATAGAATATGTCGTCCTTGCTGACTTGAAACACCGAGGCCTTTTCGCCAAGAAATAAACGAAATTTGCCGCCTGACTTATATGACTACAAGGAAATGATCCTACAATGATTGGTGAACCCTGGATGTAAGCAAACAAATCAATAAATCGATTGAAGGGTCCAACAAATCGTCGCAAAAGTAGCCTATCTTGTGCGCCGTGCCTTATTTATAGAGGAACGAATTTTAGCCTCATCGCTTCACCCACAAAAGAGATCCACATACTTACTAACGAACAAGTTTACAGAGCTACAGTTTTTGTATATAAATTTTGCAAGCCGAAAAACCTGTTCCTAAGGGATGAACGTATAAAGAGGTCATTCTCGTTGATAAATGATCCACAACGCAAGCTCTTTTTCCTTCAAAACAATGTTTAGACCCCACTACTTCTATGCAGGACACTCGCCTCTAACAATATGTGCTCGTATCGCGGTGTTCAGTGCTACCTTATGCTGAGCATGACGCATAAATTTAGTCTAAATGCAGCCTATTCTCCAGTTCTGTAGACAATGCTCAACACCGTGATAAAACCGAGCATCTAGGCAAAACAAGGTGCCCGAACTTCTTTTATAACACTCATGTCTTAGCGTTATTGAGCGCCGGTTGACATGATCTACGCGTGCCCAAAAGATTTAACTCTCAACTTCAACAGACCATAATCTATTAGCGCCGACTGAACACTAGTACGCAGTTTCAGTTAGTACTTCCAATATCAAAAAAGTTGCCACGTATTGTCTGCAAGCGATGACTACATGAACTACTTTTTCTATAGTTCTTACATTTGAGACGACTCGATGCTTAGTAGGCTCATCCTGAGTAACGTTGGTTATGGCAATAAGCTCATTTGTAGAGTCGATGGCGAATAAGCGAACAAGCGGTCTGAGTTCTGAAAAAAGACGCTGTAAATAAATCCAGCATCACTGCACAAAGTTGAACTTTGTATGGCGGACCGAGAGGAGGGGGGGGGGGATTTTTGAACGTTACTACATAGGTTAATAATAAGCAAGTGGTTTGTTTAGACTTGCACATAAGAAAAATGATTTTCAAAATTTTTTGGATTAAAGTTAGCCGTGTTAAAAAAAATTTTTTGAGTGTGGCTGCGCTACTTTCTTCTGAAAAGTGATGAGCCCGCAAAAATTTTAGAAAGCATCTCAAAAATTATAATGCCAGGCACTTTCACTCGAAAATTATCCCCCCCCCCCCCCAACGGTTTCGTACATATAGTGATGAAAGCCTCAATCAATTACCGTGCACGATCACATAGAGTGCAATTACTGCCAGCTAATTAGAATGTTTTAGCGCGAGATAAAGAGAGTGGGCTAATTTTCTCAAAATGCGTGATAGCATATTGTAAGTAGAAGGCATTAGAAGATAAGATTGAAAAGCATGGTTGGCCAATGTTAGCGCAGTACTAGAAGCCCCCAGATGTTTGCCGCTTCTTCCGCTTTGAGAGAAAGAGCTAATTCATTTCAAACCAAATAAAACGGTAGAAATACTCGCACGAGTAGAATGCACTTGTACTAAAAGTGCAGTATATTACATGGCTGGATATTTTGGACGTCCGAAAAATCTACAAGAGACCTCAGTCACATTTGAAGTTTTTGGCTCCAAAAGTTTGAATACTTACGAAAACTTTCGGTTTTTTTTGTGGATAAATGAGTTGCTGCAAAAGATATCGTAAAGCTTGAAGTCATTTCGGGTTTCATTTAGAAAGTAGTATTTGATTTTCCGTAAGAATAGGACTCTTTCAACCTTTATTCCTTTTCATTGATTAAACATGGTATAAAACCATCAAAACATCAAACGTTGAAAGCAGCGTCCAGGTAAAACTGGATATATGGGCATCTCACGTGAACAGTAATTTTGGGCTCCTAACTAAGACATAAACGCAACCGGCAGCACAGATGGTGTTTTGACGGCATGAGACATTCGCCTCCAAACTGGACCACAGAGTCTTCGCATGTAATCATGGCGCGACGCATCAATTTCGCGTGGGTCCTCGCGCAAAAGCATGCACACGATGCAGTCGACCAACAATACGATTCCGAGGTCCACTTTGGAGGCATACGTCTCAGCCGTTGATAAGCATTTGCGCTGCAGGTTGAAGTATCTTAGTTAAAGCCCCAAAATTGCTGTCCACGTGAGATCCCCACATGTCCAAATTTGCCTGGACGCTGCTTTTAATGTTCTAAGGTCTTATAGCCATGCTCGCAAACGAAGCCTTGGAGAAGCCCGCTTGGCGTTATATCTGAGCGATGTTATAGGGTGTGGGCCTAACCTCCCTCCCCCCCTCCCTCCTCCCTCCCCCCCCCCCCTCCACATGCTTACTGCCGCTAATCAGTTCATTTTTAAGGTTATGATTCCCTTTATGAAGATTCAAATTCCTAAATCTGTTGTTTTAGCTTGAAAACACTGACCGCTACTATCAATGGATACCTTCGCCGTGTACTCCCCCACATTGTTACGTTCATTCGCAGCTGCTACCGAGCAGTCGACCTGTGGCAAATAAAGTTGGTAGACGGTAGTAATAATAAATTAGAAAAAATTCACTCACTTTTCCGCTTTTCATTTCGAAGGAATAATGGGTTGTTGTGGCTGGCACTGGCTTAGCTTCCGAGGTTCCGTCATCCTGAATGCAAATTAAATCTAATTTGGAAGAATTTCTAATGGAACAAATGGGAGGGAGTGACGTTCCAGTCTGCTCTGTGGCCAGAGTTGTTTCAGGGGATCTTTAACGACTTTGCAAAACTATTTTTCTACGGCGTTAGATAAGGTTTCCTCTCAAATTAATGCTACCTCACAAGTCTGGCCCAACTGGCCCAACCTTCAGCCTACAGATTGGTAAATCTCGCAAAGTTGTTTAATAAGTGTTGGACATTTCACCAGTAACTCATACACTTTTTAATCCATAATTAGGTTTCGTGATACCATTCGATAGAGCAAAGGAAGCACCGGCTTTGATGTATCGTTTATTCGTTGACCGTAACGACTGCTGACCGCGCGGCGACCGCTGCGCGTGCATGATGTTTTCGTAGAAAAGATGAATAGAAAGAAAACAGACGATTCTTCTCATCTTTATAATGTAGAAAAGAAACAAAGAATTCTTCTCATCTTAAGCCACGGTCCAACTTGTCACTTTTTCGCAAGTTTAGAAGGCACGCGTCGCAGTCGCCACGCGGTCGGCAGTCCGTACGGTCAACGAATGAACGATACGTGAGGTTTGAAGTCAAAAACTATAATAATTTTTACACAGGGTGTCCCAAAATGTGCACACTGTTTGATCGTTAATAACTTGCTTCGATGTCTTTCGCCGATTTTAGGTACCATTCTGTAGAGCTCGCTCCAGCTTACAAGGGAAGCGTGCACAGTCGAAATGGCCCGGATGATACCCATACTGCTTTGGAGAGTATTGCACGGTTATTCCAAATCTGCCATCCAGATTTGCCAAGCGCCTCTGCATGTTGAGTTATGATCGCTTTCTGGAACGTTTTTGCTCCAGTTTTGCGTTCAATTTTTTGACCTGAGAAACGCTCATATCTCGGCGTCCAGAGGCGCTTGGCAGATTTGGAAGGCAGATTTGGAATTACCGCTTAATGCTCTTCGAAGCAGTGTGGGTCTCTGGAAAGGCCACTTCGACTAAACACGCTTCCCCTTTTAAATTTACAGTATGGAGCAAAGCTCGGATCTCCCTTCGTTACTGCAAGATTACGGTAGGAACTTTGAAGAGGGTTTTAAGCCATAAGAGTCACATTTCGCCCCGGAAAGGAAACCAGACAAGCTAAAAATTTCTATACTATGCTAATTGAAGTAGCTGATTACAGGTCAATTCTCACACCACCTATGCTTTCTTTATAAGTTATTTCAGGAAAACAGTAACATCTGCCTTTCCAATGTTCTTTAAAAATGTGATTACAAGCTCCAGAAATAGTCAGAATGGTGGTAAAAACTGCTGAAACTAGAATGCGTTAAAAATTCTGCTACATGAATTTCCAAAATTTTTGGAATTTGTTTATCAAACGACCTAGTTCACAATGCTGCTGTGTGTGAAAGTTCATACCGTAATCCTACAGTGGCGTAAAGAGGTCGGACTCTCGCTTCATACTATAAATCTAAGTTGAACCTCGCTTTACAGAATGGTATCTAAAGATCGGAGGGAGACATCGAAGCAAGAGAGTTATTATCAGTGTTCACATTTTTTCAGGGACAACCTGTACACCTATGCTGATTTTTTTCATATATATCAAAAAAAATTCTCGTAATTTTACCAAAGCTATGCTGGGTTGTTCCCACATAAGTAAATATATACTATAGACCTTTAGGTACAAACGTAGATTTAGAGCTTTTTTAGAAGGTTAGTTTTCGAGAATTGTTGATTTTAGCTTGCTTTATTAGGATGTTTCATGCTGAAATCTAAGGGCTTGTAGTTTGTAGTTACCAATGTCGTAACAGCAGCTGCGCTCTTTCACGCTTTCTCGATTTCTAGTTAAAAACGATTACAGCAACTGTCGTGAATGTTTGATGTGGAATGTATTAAATGCGTGAGCAAATAAGGGTTTTCACCCGAGTCAATTTTTCTCGAGTTTTCAAGCGTTCAAATTGTTTGGGATTGGCTTCGAACTTCGTGTGGGTCAAATTTAATGAATGTTTAAACACTGTCCTGTAGAGCTTGCTTTGCTTCCATCGAACGGATTGATTAAAAAAAACCAGATTAAAAACAAGAATAGTATGACTTATCGTTGTAAAAAGTCAAGGTGTAACAAAACCCAACTAACAAACTTAATATCAATGTTACTGTCACTTCCTTGACCAGTATCTCAGAGAATGCAACTTACTTTTGTGCAGTTGATGAGGTACTGAAATGGCGCAGCGTTCCATTCTGTTGGTGGCGACCAGAACAAGGATATTATTGCTCGCGCACCATCTACAGTTCTCTAAAATGGTGGATTTGGCTGAGCCGATGTGGCTCAGACGAAATTATTGATTTTGATTTCATAGGTTTAGTTCAAAGACAAAGGTAAAGAAAACATTCTGAGTAGTGAGGTCACCTGTTGAGTTGCGTACAAGCGAACGTTTGTTGGCACGGTAGGTGGTTTTAGTGGGGCCTGTAGTCCGGTCTTACTGGTATTCACGGACATCCATGCATTGATAGCTTAATTTGCAAATTCAGGAAACTTGTTACTTACTGCTGGAGAAATTCCATTTTACTGGGCAAAACGATGAAGCATACCAGCGATGTTCGCATCAAATTTCTGAGCCGAAGACCAAGACTGCAGCAATTCTGTAGGCAGAGTCAGCTTAGTCATTGTGGTGACAGCTGTGTGAGCATCACCAACAAGTTTCTCTTTGTACAATGAAACCTAAAGCTATCAATCTTTTGATTGTATATCTGAAAGCACGATCACGGACTTTATAGAGGACCATGCCAGGCTCCTGACGGGGCTCAACAACCCAAGACAGCTCATCCTTCTTAAGTTCGTTCATAATAATGCTGTCTACTGCAATTGACATATAAGTCACGTCTTGATTCAAAGCCACTAACCTTGTACTTCTACACGGTTGGAACCAGCCTCAGGGTTAAGTGGGATGACTGTGCCGACCTCGGAAAGGGCGTAGTTGAGGTTGAGGGATCCCAGTTTCTTGTCGCACTGCCCTACGCGGCCCTTCTGCGTCACAAATATCACCTTTTCGTTTGTGACTAGAAGTTGTCGAATGCTAAATGACAGCGATGAGAAAAAGCAAGTAAAATCCAAATAAGTAAAATTTTCACATTTCGCGCTTTCAATAAAGCTAACAAACTCGTGCGACAGGTGGAAAACCCATGTAGAATCAAATTTTGCTCATATATTGCTTGACCTAAGCATGGTGACTAAGAATACAAAGCACACAGCTGATTTTTTGAGATTCGTTAGAGCACAGGGATTGAGTCTCAAGCTTCACTGCCGTTTAAATTATCTGTCTCATATACTTAAGCTTTATTACGAGTTAGCCACAATTTTCAAGGATGATGAAATTCTTGAAAATTTTCGATTTTGCAATTTACAGCGAGTAAATTTCTAATAAACCTCTACGTGCTAATGTATGCCATCGTGCTATGGCTACTGGCAGAAAATGCCTATTAATTTCAGAAAAGCTGTAATATGGTAGAAGTTAAAGTATTTTTTCTTATCTTCTGGGATTTCAGTGTCTTTGCCCTTTATTAGTTCATAAGATTATGCGATTTGGCAGAGAGCTACTGATGGTGATTTCATTTCTGTTGCTGTAACAACTTCCAAGAATAAGCAATATGAGACTTTGCATATTTTGTATTTGTACTTGCATCAGAGCATTTGCATAGAGCTTTGCTAGAGCAAAGCAAACCAAATCTGTTGAGCGTAAGCATCGTGTGCCGCTTTTGTAGGGCATATGTTTGTTGTTGGCTGCGAGATTCAAATTCGCAAAACAAGGAGTATTAGCTCTTGTATTAACAATGAAACCTACGCTGGCAAGTCTGTTGACGTTGAAAGCAAATGTGGAGTTCTATCCTCCTGGTTGAGTTCAAAGAGTGCCATAGTCCCATTAGGATACTGTGATACGAAACTCAGACGAACGAGTGTGACTTTGATCGCACTGAACTTCCATACCTGTGCCAAGAAATGGATTTCCCCTGTCTGATCATCCGATGAAAGCCCAATGATCTCGGCGCAGTCATCAATGGCGTGAGAACACGAATATATACTAGAAAACATAGCTAGATTATACGTAGATGAGCAGTCTTTACTAGACATGAAAGCACGGAAACAACTGCTTTTGTCTGTGAAAAAATTTCGAAAATGTTAATAAAATTGTAAGAATTGTTTCAGCATTGTGAAAGTAAAGAGTGGTGGTGATAGAAAAATTCTGACATCCTCCTCACCAATCCCCAAAAAAACCCTGATCGCAACTGACAGGCAAATGTCAGGATAGAAATGCTTGCTCACACATGCTCCACTGCTCCGGTCAGACGATAGCTGATGATCTGGTAGGAGGACGCAAGTACCAGCATTGCACGGCTGGCAAGCACTGTGATAAATTTCAATGTGAGATAACTAGTGAATATGTACACTTCGTTAGGCTCAGGCACTCGATGGAATACAATGCTCCCCTGAAAGCACGGCTTTTGTCTCTGTAAAAACATCACAATCCCTAGCAAACTATCTAAATTAGGTATTGAGATAGTTTACCTCGCTGGAATCAACGTTGTAAAAAGTTTGCGTGGTGTTGTCAAATGACATTATCCCATCACAACAAGGTTGGAAGACTTTGACTGAATTTGCTTATTTTTAGCGGTTTTACCGTGATTTGAAATAAAATGTTACTTATATGTTCGCCTTGCATATCTTCTCCCAGCACATCAAGTACAGACGTCAGCTCGTTCGATCTCCTGAGGAATGCCAGTGGTTGATCTGCAATATCGCGTTCTATGGGTAGAACAACTTGTGATTTCCATTATATGAGGTAGACAACTTCTTAGGTCTCAAATCTTGAAGGCAGAGTTGGTGTAAACAACATACATTTGAATGGTATGAAGGCAGAGTTGATTACATTTACAAAAGAAGAGCACACAGAATTCCAGCATACCCGAACAGAAGCCGTATATTCTGCGCCAGGAATCACAGCCATGGTCTAAATTGTATTTGTTTTCGGCTCTTAGCAAGTGAATGCAAATTCTTGCCACAGATGTCTCGTTGCTTATTTTCCCGGCTACTGGAGTGTTAGGGGTGTCCTGGGTTATGAGACGAACCTCGTACGAGATGTTTCTCCAGTCATTACTAGATGCTGTAATTTTGATAGCTTGTTAGCGCAATAGGTATATTGAAGAGATCTGTTGACCTTGGAAAGGTAGATTTGCTGGAGGGATCCAGCTAACTTTGGCCTTTGTATCGCTCATAATCAGTCCGATTTTCTCAGGTGGGGTCAGTGTAGGTGGTAGCGTTGGGTCACTAAGTATCGTAAAGTCCACTAATTTACCGGAGTAGAAGTATCTGTATTCAGGAATTAGTTTTCAAGTAGATGATGAGTAAGCTCAATGAACCTGATGAAGTGTGTTTCACTACCATCCTTCTGAGTATACTCAGAATAGAAACACATCTCATCCTGCGGGCTGTCTCCACACTTTTCGCGCAACCAGAACAGGCGGTCTCTGTCGATCAGTAGCCGCTTTACTGTGGGAAACTCTCCATTTCGCTTAACAGCTAGTCGTCCCGAGATCAAGTTCTTGGCAAGGATGGTGCCTGTAAAAGTTGCTTTTATTTTTGTCTCGTCCTCATCATCTAACTATTGCAGTGTAACGATATTTAATTCAATAAAACTTCTCAGCTCAAACTAGAATGATGATTCATAGAGGTTAAGCTTCTGTTTAACGGGCCCTGAGGTCTAATGCGTAAAACTATAGGGCCGAGCAAGAATTGCACACGATACAGATACGACACCTCCCCCCACCCCCCACCCCCAACCCATGTGTGTCTCAATAGGACCAATTCGAAATCAGGGCCCGGCACGGAGTGGGCAAATGACAAGCTGGAAATCGTTTTTGGTGGAAAAAGCGAGGGGGAGATCGTTTTTGCAGGGTCCCGGGCGAAGCCCCTGAAGAAAATTCCAAGTGCAAGCAAAAGAAGATCGAATCATGCTTATTACCTTATACATCTAATTCATTGGGAAGTAGTTTTTATAAGCCTTAACGCACAGCAGAGTTCGCACGCGCTAAGCCGCGTTGCCGCTAATTGCCGCGTGCGCGGCTCGCATGAGCGATGTCTTGAACAGCATGATTACATGATTAGTTCTCAATGCAGGCGTAACGATATGGCACCAAATTATGTAAGAGAACGAAGAGAGGCCAGTAGAAACAAAATATGAAATATCATGAAAAACCTATGTGAATGGGAGGTGTAATAAGCATTATTTCCAGAAATTTTGCAAAACCGGTAAATGAGGATGTGAATTCAAATGGCTCATTTGCAGCGCACAGATGACCTTACGATTGTGAAAGAAAGATACATGAAACCGGCCTGCAGGGCGTAACTTAGAAGTTTCATTGAAAGATTATGTGACTGAGGGTTGTGGTAAGCTTTTTTCTGAAAATTTCCCACCATCAAGAAAATGGAAAAATGGCTCGTTTGCAGCGCAGAGAAAACGAAATCGCGCGAGAATTGGTGTGTATACGCGCAATAGGACTAAGGAACAATGTGTGAAGAATTATGAAAAAGTTATGTGAATAAAGAGCGTGCCCAACTATTTTCCATTAGGTGGGCAGTTGCCCACCTAATGCCCAATTGAGGTAAGCAAAACTCACAGTTCACATAAATATTCCAGAATTTTTACATAAGTATGCTCTACACCTAAAGCTTAGTATATAGTAACATTTTGGGTTTCAAAACTCCTCTGTCTTTGTTAAAGCCCAAAATCGCATCAGCAGCCCAGCTTTCTAAGGAGGAAAGCGCGCTCCAGTCAATCACGCGGGTACGGCATCTCTCAAAAATATAACTGCGTTACTTTGATATTTCTTCATTCCTTTATCATTTTTCTTGCTTATTCTTCTTCCTATTTGCTATCTTGAAAAAGGTGAGGAATAATTAGAAAAATTTGAGCATTTTTGGGCGCTTTTGAGCGCTTTTAGGCGAAATGCGGCCGGTGCTCTCGTTGCACAAGCACAAAGTATCGTTTTTGAGCTCACGGGGGTAATCGTAAAAAATTTTGGGATTAAAGGGGAATTCGTTTTGGAAAACCCCATTTGCCCACCTCGTACCGGGCGTTCGAAATCCCGGTGATCCAAGTAAATTCAAGAAAAAGGCCTACAGAGCATGATAAGTTCCATTTTCGCAATTAGCATATAATGGACCTTGTTGCAGCAAATTCTGAAGTTTTTGAGTATTGGGTGCAATCCAGCTGAATTGGTTACTTCCATGTTTATTTGAAGCCAAGTCAATGTGCCGTTTATTCCATTTCTCGTTTTTGGTGATTGCGCTTCCAAAAGTCATAGTCAGATGAAGACGAATCAGACTCAAATTACTTTGGGGTAGCGCCACACCCCCACATTTTTGTCAGTTGGAAAGAAGGTTATGAACGGAAGTCACTTACGTCATTTAGTCTAAATCTCGTAGTTTTGGCAGTAATGAGCTGACCTAGTTCGTTTCTATTTGTTTGACAAGGGAAGGGTCCTTAGTCGAGGTGGCTTTTGGAGATGCATAAGGTATTGAAGGTCATCGAACAATAAATCACTCAATGCGAAGATCAAAATCAAATCCGTTTCAAATTTCCAGATCTGTTCCAGTTAATTGGGAAGCGCCTCTGGGCAAGACGTTGTGAGAGGTTTGGCAAAGTTTGGAGGCTTGGTGAAAAGAAAATCATTCACAGAAGTTTGAGAGCTCAAACGGAGCAGTGGTGTATGTTAACACATTGACGACCGCTTGACAGACATGGTGTGTCAAGGCTTGACACACCATGTGTATCGTTGAAATGGCTGCTATTTTGTTCGAATAATCAAAAAACGAGGTTTCGAATATTATTCAAAAACTCGAATAATCAAAAAACGGGTTTCGAATAGATTTTATTCTAATGTTTTATTCGAATGTTTATTCGAATTCGTATTCGAATGACTCCGTATTCAGATTATTCGACTTTGTTGCAAAGCCAACTGCTGAGTATCAAGCTCATTTCGTCCGCGTTTCTTTTCGCAAAACTCGGTAATGCATCTTTTGCAACCGTTATACCTTTGAACTGTATGGAGAGTCGCATTCTTCCGACTGCTTGCGATAGTAAAAAAATCATATGTGGATTTTAATTGATGTAGAAAGCCCTTTGCTTTTACATTGTTGATGCTGATAAGAAATAAAGTTAACTCTGGTGTACATCAGTCTCTTTCAGACCATCTGAAGAAGAATCTTTTGGGGACAGCATAAAAATTTATATCGACTGCTTTTTAAATCGTCCATGATGGGTAAAATATGACTTTTTACTGATGTATAGACTAGATGCCGACCGACTGACTTTATCGATTTTTGGAGAAGTTTGAGCTATGAGCTTGGGAGTTGGTACAGGGGGTAAATGAGGATGCCGATTAAAACCGAAATCTATTTTATCGATTTTAGCAATTTTTGGAAAATTTTGAGCTAGGAGTTGGCATAGGGGATACTAGGGGGCTGACTATGATTGGATCGGCTCTAGCCCTATATGTCGGCAAGTTTGAGATGTGATTGCTTTACTTATTCGATAAATCATTCGAATATTTATTCGAAATTCGACTTCCAATGTTCGAATATATTCGATATTCATTCATTCGATATTTTGATTTTCCGAATTTATTCGAAATTCATTCATTCGATATTTTTGATTTTCCGAATTTATTCGATATTCGTTTATTCGAAATTTTTCCTTTCCAATCTATTCGATATTCATTCCTTCGATAAAACATTCTCGAATTACCCAAGTATACTGTAGATAAAATTGCGCGTGGATTTATCTAAAAAATGTTGACCGGTCCGTGAAACGCCTTGGTCGTCAATGTGTTAAACCACTTAAGCGGAGATTAAATTCTCTTTGCAATACCCATATCCAAGCTATTCCATCTTGTATTGACATTTACACTCAAATTTCTCCTCGTCGCGTTCAATTTTTTGGCTCTCGATACGCTCATAACGTCACGTAGAAGTGCTCCGCAGATAAGAAAGACTGAACTGAAATCTTCGAAATCATATGCAACTCATCTTAGCCACTTCGACTAATGATCCTTCCCCGTGAGTAATGATCGCTGAAGATTTAGGCAGGGCTCCTAATTTCGTACTCTGGTCGTTCGAAGTATTGCTGATTTGGGGTGATGAGGAGCAAGGCTTTGCAAAAAGTCGAGGAGTCTCTAACTTATTTTTGAAACAAAGTCAATCATGTTCAAAAATGACCATTTTAGCTCGGTAGGCCATTACTTGGAAACATCAGCAGAGCTGGCTAAAATGCAGTCTCACTACTACAGGGACAGCCCAGACAAACTCACATGCTTTAAGGACAAATTAATACGTGACTCCAGCCTGTTTTCTCACTAGCGCGCGAAATTTGAATGCTAGAATAAGGTATGTTGCTTGCTTACAGCGCAAAAACAGCCTATGACCGAAGTTAAAGTGTACTCATTATTATTTTCTACAACACTACATCAGAACTTTCTAAGCTTAGGTGACACAGTACCCTTCTCCTTGCACGACGCAAAACTAATGAATGATTGAGCGAGCTATTTTTCTGCAAGCTCACATTATCTGCAAAATTTTTCACCCTGCGTTTTTTGTGGGATAATCTACTAGGTTGGTGCAAAAGTAATGCGCGTTTTGCGAGTTTTCATTTTGACGTGCTATAACTTTCTAAAAAACCCATATTCTTCAGCGCGGCAAAGCCTATCAGAGGCTCAAACCTCTCTCTATACAGCGCACATTAATTTGTGCTAATATCGCAAAACGGTAAAAAAAAATATGAATTGATAAGCAAAAAAAATTTTTTTCGGAAACCTCGTTTTTAACTGATCATAACTTCCTTTAAGATTTGTTGGTATAAATGAAAAGTTGACTGTCTTGTAGCCGCAAGCCAGTAGTACACAAAAAAGTTGAAAGGGGCTCAAACAAGGAAGATCTGCGAAAAGGAAAAAATAATATTTGAAATTGTCCGCTTTTTTCGACATTTTTTCGTAACCCTCAAAATCTAAAAATGTGGAGATTTTTGATTTTCTGTGTACTGAACAGCTTCCACATTTCTGCAAAAACTGTCAACAGGAGGTCCACCCTTACGCTTACAGGAATGAGCAAAACTTTGGCGATTGCCCTCTTCAAAGGAAATCTATGGGCCACAGAATGGTCAAAACCATCACTCATGTTGGGGCACCGAAATCTTAGTCTAAATAATTTCTGAGGAAACAGCAAAGCATGCACAACGTAGAAAATTTCTACTACATACAGCAGTTAAATTTTCAAAAGAATGCGTTTACTCACGCTCGAATTCTGGCCAAAAAAGTAAGCGCAATGAAATTCTGGTTTCGAGTGCGGTTGTATGAAGCTCTATAAATTTTAAACGATTGAGGCTAGAAACTTCTTTCAACCACCATTGAATAAAGCATGAAAGAAGCTTTTTAATGGTATGCTGGGTAAGTTTCATAGAAGAAACTTCGATGGAGAAAAGCTGTCTTGAAATAAGGGCTAGAAAAACGCGCATTACTTTTGCACCAACCTAATATCTTTCTCCTAGGATAGCGTTTCAAAATGTTTACTCTCTTCTCGTTTCAGCAGTGTAACCATCGTTGATTATCGCACCAGTGCTACAGTAACGCTGGTGAGCTCACCTTATTCTGCCATTCAAGTGTTATCCGTCAATTTTTATGCATTTAAAGGCACCGTCCACACAGAATGGGTTCCTTCCCTAGCAAGTGGGCGGTACGTTTGTCCCGCATTCTGATTTGCCTACCAGGCGCAATGCTCAAGAAATTGATGGAATCGTGCGAAATTGCGTCTCTACCTTATGATAGGCCCGCAGCTGGCCCGCGGCTGACCGGCAGGCGCGAAGAGTGCTTGTACACTGCGGATTCTGAAGGGCATCCAAAACTCAATACTTTGATACTTTCGTTCAATTTTAGGCCTGCATTCGGACTCAGCGAGCGCAAGAGGTGCTAAAAAGGACAAGAACTCAAAATCGAGGATTTTGGTAGACGGTGCTTTTGAGCTTTCCATTATTTCCTGAGCCTGCTATTTGCTATGGAGGCTGACATTGTTCCGTTATTTGAGTTGTATCTTTGGTGTTCTATTGCTATTCTCCTGCACTATAATATTAGGTTGTCTCATAACTAATGCACGTTTTTATTTGCTTGCTTTAACAAAGCAACCAGACTCAACCTAACAAAGGATAAGGGGTATTGTTCGATAGAGCAAAGCAAGCTCTACTAGATGGCACTCATACCTTTGCGCCATGCTCGATCCACGGAGAGTTCGAACTCAAAATCTAAAGATTTCCAAATGCCCAAAAAATCGAAAAAAATCAGATCTTCGTCCAAATAATTTCTACGGACCTCCCACCCGCTCACATCAATACTATCGATATCTGATATCCATATGTGCGATTGTCGTATTTTTTCTTGACTAGAAACTGAGAAAACGAAAATTTCCCTGATTTTCTCAAAGCAATGCTGAGCCGTTTTTGCATATGTGGTTCTATAATAAAAGCCTAGATAAGCATAACTGTAGTTTTTCAGCCTATTTCGAGCGGTACTTTTCGAGAAATGTCGATTTTAGCACTGAAACTGAAACGAAAAAATCCGAATTTGTTATTTTTCGAAAACCACCGCTTGGAATGGGCTGAAAACCTACAGTCATACTTACCTAGGCTTGCAGTATAGAACTACATATGCAAAAACGGCTCAGCATTGCTTTGAGAAAATCAGGGAAATTTTCGTTTTCTCAGTTTCTAGTCAAGGAAAAAACACGACAACTGCACATATGGATATCAGATATCGATAGTATTGATGTGAGCGAGTGGGAGGTCCGTAGAAATTATTTGGACGAAGATCTGATTTTTTTCGATTTTTTGGGCATTTGGAAATCTTTAGATTTTGAGTTCGAACTCTCCGTGGATTGAGCATGGCGCAAAGGTATGAGTGCCATCTTGTAGAGCTTGCTTTGCTCTATCGAACAATACCCCTTATCCTTTGTTAGGTTGAGTCTGGTTGCTTTGCTAAAGCAAGCAAATAAAAACGTGCATTAATTATGAGACGATAATATTACGATTGAAAATGGGACGAGGTCGAAGTTTTAATAGTCGGAAAGATATCGTTTTTGAAATGACTACGAGACGAAGAATGCCGGGCTCTGTGTGCACTTCACATGAATGCATGAATGTATTAAACTACATTTCCAACTAATCTTTACCATTTTCCAGTGCTGCAAGTAGTTGAAATTTTTCATCATCCAGTTCGATCGCTAATGTTGGGGGAATATCTAAGATATATAAGTTTTAGTTTTTGATGTCCATGGAGCAAAAGTCTTTTCAAATACTTGCGTGAGTTACCTGTGATTGGAACAACATTAGAAATCTGGTAATTTTCTACTACGTCGAAGGGAAATAACTCTGTTCGATATACCTGGTGTTCATTGAGAAAGTATAGGAATCTGGAAAAGATTGTTTTCAAGAGTCACAAAAACGCATGGAGAGACAACATGCCCATTCACGCTGTCTACAGCTATGTTTTTCCTAATGTTGGAGGAGTCGGTGTTCGCCAGAAGAAAGCAGCTGGGATTTTCTAGTGTACACCGCGCAATGCCTTTGTCGGATAGAGCAACGTAGATGGCGTTTTGCATAAAATCTAAATCAGGGTCATAGAATTAGTGTATGTTACCACAAAGAAACAAACCATATTTGATCTGTGTCACTGGATGGCCGCCCTCATCCGAAGAGGCTTCATCTGGCTGTCGGATCACTGTTGGCGTTGTGGACACCACTGTGTCATTGTATTCTAAGGAAAGCAACCATACTGAGCCACGGCTGCTACCCACCACAAGCGAAGTGGAGGAGACCCCTTCGAGACCTGTAGAGGCACAACTTTCAAAGGTAAGAGTGATAATATGGTGGCTTCTCACTCGTTATTGAATCTCCTTCTGGAATTTCAAACGGAATTGTCAGTAGCTCTTCCTCAGATACAATGTAATTATCCGCACTTCGCATTTGAAAAAGTTTTGATCCAGTGGAAAAGACGAGGCGAGAACTTGTTTGGCCGCTTTCCTCTGATGGGGTTGCTTAAAAATTCCATTACAGATCTGCTCGCCAACATATAACAGTAGAGCATACTCATATTTTGCTAGACGTAATGGATGATGCTGAACTGACATGATAAGTCTTGCTGTTTGTTTGATTACATAATCCTCTAGTAAATATTATTCATTTATTTATATAACACCCTCATAGGCGCGCCACTTTGATAGTAAACACCAACATGACAACGTCAATGAAGTTAGTATGACATCAAAGAGATTAAAAAGAAAAACAGGAAAAGGCATTCGGTAATCTCGGTATGAAAAAATGCGGTTGAGAATTTCGAAATATCATATACATTACATAAAAATATAATGACCAGAGGAGGTGCACGCTCTAGTATACATAAAGGCATTCTAGTCTAAAACCCTTTTCCTCTAGCTAGTTTCCATTCATTTCTCACACGTGGGAAGGACATTCTCAGATTCAAATTCCCTACTCATTTGTGCAGTATGTATTTATGCTCAAACTCACGCGGTGGACAATCATTAATTATTCGAATGAAAGTTACATAAAGCTTACAGACCTGTGGGTTGCACAAGATCCAGTTTGACGCTAGCAGAATGCCCTTGCTCCTCCGTAGTTACATCCATAATCGTAGCCCGGCAACAGTTTTCTTTTGCCAACTTCTCTAATAAATAACACCTGAAATTTCACCAACGAGTTTAATCCAATATTTAATATGCCATTATGCATTGGAGCCATTCATGTTACCGTCAGTAATCCACTATTGCTCTATTCTTCTTGTTAAAACAACCCCACTCTTTCTTACTAGGTGTTAGTCTTTCACGCCTTTTGCCTATACTCCGTGTTTTCACATCAAGTAAACAAAAAACCTCGAGCAACTGTTCTTCACCTTTTGTCTGTCGTATCTGTGAAAAGCGGGTTACCATCTAATGTCGCCAGCGAAACCTTGAACTGTACCTAGAATTATGTGAATTTAATTACATGATTGAAAGTACAATTTTCCACTACCATTGATGGTTCGCCTTTCCAGCATATAGCGACTTTATCACTTGATAGTTGAAGTTGGGAAGTTAGTTCTATTCTACTGGGCACTACACGAAGCGGCATTTGATAGGTAATAATGCGGGATACGCCAACTCGACTGCGGTAGACGAGAGCCAGTCGCACATGAAATTACAACTTTCAACCATATGAGGCCCCGGACAGACTTCACGCGACTTAATCGTCGCGATCTAATCGCCAAGATTTCCATTCATTTTCATTTCACATTCAAAAATTTCGGGCTGGGAAAGTATCACAACCGAATGCAAGTTGATCTGAATGGAATGATGTTGTAACAGTTGTCTCGTCGCGATTTAGTCGCGACGATCAAATCGCGTGAAGTCTGCCCGGGGCCTGAAGCAATGAGATTCGCTCACTTGGAGTTGTGATGTTGGTTCAAGTGGTATGCTTACTTCGGACGCAAGCGTGGCATTGCGAAATGCCTGAAGCATTTTGATTCTATTATATGAGCGTATTGAAGGTGGTATTACCGTTACTGGTAGTGGTGACCATTTCCAACCCTTTTTTTCTCCCGAAGGTCTCGTCTGAGCATACCATCCTACATCAGCTGCTGCGACTTCTTGCACCTGAACAGGCAATTACTACAAAATTACCCCCATGTGTGCAATTCTGGCATGTGTCGGCTGCTGTATTTTTATCCATTTAGTTGTCTTGATGCTTACGCTTAACTTCATTTACAGTTACCACAAAAGTATTGACCCCTCTCTGTCAATACTGTTATATGTGTAGAAAAGCAAATCACTAATTTGTATCGTTGCATATCCTTTTCATATTTTTTCAATCAAAAGGAGGAGTTTGTATGCTTATTTGGCCCGCTGAAAAAAATCCCTGCCAAGTGCAAGTATTCGCCTGAGGGCTTATCCGGTCAGTAACGATTGTACCGATCTCAAGACTCCATCAGAGTCATCCCTCTGCGAATCGTTTCTTAAAAAGTTTAAAGTTTGACTACGTTCTATCGCACAGGAGGTAGCAAGCGGAATGTAGCAAGCGGAGCATTTAGAATGCAAACCTCATATCTCAAGAATCAGTAAAAGTGCATCGCAATCTTGCGACCTGATCCTCTAAACTTGGTCTTATTATTAGTCGAATGGTTTTTAGCGATCCGGGTGTTTCCCTCCGAGGTGACTACAGAGTGATCTGTTACATTGAGTGATCCAGCAATGTTCGGTCAATTCAGGCTTTAAGACATGCAATTTTTAAGACCTTATGATTTAGTTTCTGATAACGTTGATGAATATAATTTACAGCGTGAAGTATACTCTGCCTTGCGCTTAAGTACTTTAAAATGCTCTAACTAATTAGGCTTAAATTCCTGCAATGTGATTAGTTTTCCCCGTTAAAATTTGCTACTAATTCCTTTTTTTGATGACGAAGTCAATATATCTTCCATGTGCAGTTTGCATATTTCAGGAGATGGGTTATAAGGCACGGGTACACCTCATTCTTTCAATACTTTTCACAAAAGCGATTTTACCTACAAAACCAGATGTTCTTACTGCATACCTCTGCCTGGACAGACTCTGGAAATTGCCAGCGGAGACGCAAACTTCCGCCAAGGGCATCAATAGTCACTGTGACTTGATATAAAAGTTCTGGAAAGCGAAATTGACTTTTCTGTTGTTTAGTAGACCTAATATACCTTGGGCCTGCACGAGAAAAGCATGTTCCACTGCGTAACATCCTTGGAAACAACTGTCGAAAGCTACATCTTCGGCGTTACAACGACTCTCACACTTCGACAACGGTTCGTCCAAGTCTCTACAACCATGATGACACTGTAAAAGTATTCTATCGTTTGATGCTATGGTTTGGGTAGCGTTTTTCTTATAAAACCCAATAGTTTTAATCACTCACCGAATTCACTCTACAACTATAATCGCATTTAGCTAATTCTTCTTGATCCCATGAGAATTTACCGCGAGCTAATGGGAAAGCCTGAAGTAGAAATCTGTAGCATTTGTTGTATTTTATGCCACCAAAAATCATTTCTCTCAGAGTAGTTCTTCATGGTATATATCTCATTATACAAGCAGGTTCAACAGCAAAATAACTAATTCAAGATTTATTGGGAATGTTCACTCGGCTTCATGTCAAGAAAAAAGGAAGCTGATACAAAAGATCATATGAAAGCAAAGGTGCACAATTGTGTCTTCAAATTTTAGCCAAAAATATCCATTCAAGGTGCAGGTAGCGAAGAGAACAATTTGCTCTTTTTTTAGACCAAAAGAGCGATGTAACATTAGAACGACTGTTCCTTTTCCTTCTGCTCAAAATAGTGAGTATTTTGCGATTTCGTATGGATTGCAACGCAAAGGGAGTTATGCAGATACCAGTGGCGTACCGAGGGGGGGCGGGGGGGGGGCGCCCCCCCCCCGAGAACGGGTCGCGAAATTTTTGAAAATTACTTACATGCGTTATAAAAATGTGCAAATGACTTGTTTATTTTTGTAAACAATTAAAATAATTTTTAAAATTTTTTAAAAATTCAAACTAGCCTTAAAAAAATTTTTTTCGGGGGCATTTTATGGGTTTGGGGCCCGCAAAATTGTTGAGAAGCCCCCCTAAAATTTTTTCGGAGCGCGTGGCTAACGCCACGCACCTTCATTTGAAAATTTTTTTGCCGCGCCCCCCCCCCCCCCTCCCCGAGCCGAAATCCTGGGTACGCCACTGGCAGATACATATTATTTTTTGTTGATTTCAGACATTATGAAAATATCATCTCCAAGTACTATGCCCTAAAGAAAAGATGCATTTGAACTAGCGTAAAACTGCATGTGGATTTCATGTCTTGAGCTTGTAAGTTTCATAAGCAGTCATTTCAGTAGCCCACTTCCATATTGTCAAGCAAAAAGATCCGGTTTGAATTCGAATGTATTCTGCCATTCACTAGGCTCTTTTGCTGACAGACATATATTTTCAAAGCGTTTGTCTACCTTACGAAAAGATACCTGCTTGTCTTTACACTGATTGAGTTGCTTTCCCTTGTGAGATCAACGTTGCTGTGAAACGAGTTTTGATATCATCTATTTCATACTCATAGTCTATTGGACAGGAACTTGTTTGCCCCAATAAAAACTATTGATTTACTGCCCATTATTGTTGTTATGACGTGACGGCGGATGTAAAAAGGATGCTTTTGGGGTTATTTCCTTCTTGCTCAAACGTCTCAAGTGAAGCAAAGAACGGGTCTAGCTCTCTAGGACGATGTAGGCACATAGTTACAGGCAATCAAATGACTCAATTTCAACAGCGCACATCACATTCACCAATAAGAGAAACTCATCTTGCAAATTCACAAAACTGCAATAGGGATTTTTGTTACCGAAAAAGACATGAAAATAGTGTTTCCCCAATAAATAACCCTAATATTGTTTCATTCCTAATAACCCCAAAATATTGTTTCAATGCTACCATTCACAACAACTCTATCCACCGGTAAAAGCGGGTTATAAGTTATGAGATTGTGCGACTAACAGTGAATAGCAGGTACGGTAGATGTACTGTAGTAAGGAGCAAGGGAGGAGAAGCGAAGCTCTTCGAAGAAGAAGTATTTCACATGGAAGTTAGCATAAAATCATTTCGAGTCTACAAGAATGAGCAAGAGATACACTCTAGCTTACTCAGCTAACATCCCCCCCCCCTCGGTACGCCATTGAGACTCAATGATTATTTTGCTTCTCACTCAAAAGTGTGCAAGGGTATTTTAGTAGTCACAAATAAGGTAGAGTCAGAAGATACCATCGACTTTTTCGTTGTCAACTGTTTTGTGGAAATCGTGTCGCACCTACCGTAATAAATTCTAGTAAAAGACTACAAAAGTGGATTTTCTTTTTTTCACACATTTTCAGATTCGTGAATTTGACCTTTTGCCATTGATCCCACTAACTCTATCTTATGATGCAGCGTTCTAAAAACCATTCTCGCATCAGCTCCTTCAATGACCTCTCTACAATTCTCAGAACATGTGCTGGAAATAATTTGCAGAAAAACACTAAGGTTCTAGAAAAGTGAGTGACTCCATCGACGTTAGTCTAGACGGTGCAAAACAGCTCCGATCGAAAAAGTCAATATAAATCATTATATGAAGGTATTGCCTATGTTTACACTGTATTAAGCTTCAATAGCGTAACGATGTAGCAGAATAAAGTTAGTACATCAAAGATCCCGATTCTGCGAAGTGTCAAAAGCTCCTCATTTGTCAGATTTAAGGTCCCTTTCTTACTTAGCACATCTCTGTTTCAACTTTCTGCTGCCTCGCGCATGCCACAAACCAGTTCAAATGTCGGTCGCTTATCCTTTGAAGGAAGATAAGGGGAACTTTGTGTGAAGAGAAACTTGCAACTTCGATAACTTTAAATCTTGTCCAGTTTATCAGTTCAATCAAAATTTCAGTCACTTGGCTCAGAAAAGTAATGCCTGCACGCACATCACTGGACATGCCATAAATTGAGCGAAGGAAAGAAAAACCATGACCGGGAATGTTTTTTAGTTCACTCAACATTACTGAGCATTCAAGGGTCAAATCAATTATAAGAATTATGAGAAATTATGAGAAAGGAGAACATTCCACAAAGACTCAGCGATTTTACTACTGAGCTTGCTTATGCATGACAGTGAAGGACATACAGGGCAATCTCATTAATAAAAAAGAAGTTAGGCATTATTTTAAGCCATGAAAATCAGAAACCCGATGAACTGTATCTTTTCCCCTTTCTCAAAAAATGGCTTAGATGAACACATTTTTATTAACAAACTGAAAAGGGTCAAGTCATGTACCACTATATAGAACATCCTAGATGTACGTTAGAACGTAAAACCTTTATGAGGCAGATCGTACTATGCAATGCGTATAATTTCGCAAGTACATTGCAAATTTGGGGTTGTTGTTGACACAGACATGATAACAACATATAAATAAGTGGAAAAACGAAAAGATGAAAAAAGGCAAGATTGTGCGAATAGCGTCAAATGAAAGATTGCTCGAGAGAAAATACATTGAAGAGTGAGAAAATGGGCAAAAGTTCATATCGGGCTAAAGGGACCAATGAATTGGTGAAAATAGTCGGGGAGTAGTAGCTGTGGGTCAAGGCATTGCTAGTATCTCTCTAAGCATTCCAACTGATTATCTGCATCAACGCATACGAAATATGCAGTCAATAATATTGCGAGGCAGTTAGCAATCACTCTTCCGCTACTTCTCAACTTTTTATTATTCACGGTTCTCGACTTCCATAAAAATCTAAAATAATGCTGTGTAGCAAATTTGACTACATTGAATGAATCTTAATCTTAGGCTCTATGTGGATGCATCAGGTGTTCTATATTTACTGGAAACAGTTGTGTTCTATATTTACTGGAAACCATCAATGACTCGTTATGATGTCATCACAAGTTAGATTCAATGTAGTCAAATTTTTTGGATAAATCATTGTTGTTTGCGCTACCAAATAAAAGCTCTCAGGATAAGACTGAAAAAGAACTATTGAATACTACTGTTACAGTAAAAACGTATAGTGGCGACAATCCGCCTCAGCACCTTTGAACAACCTCTCCCCTACCGCTTCAGTTTCTACTAACCATCTCTCCAGTTACAGCGGCTCTAATGTGCGCTTGTACCAGTGGCGTACCCAGGATTTCCGTTCAGGGAGGGGGAGGGTGACAAAGATTTTTTCGGTTGAAGGTACGTGGCGTTAGCAACACACTCATAAAAAATTCTTGGTATGCGTTCCAAAATTTCCACGGGCTAAAACCCCGAAATTCCAGAAAAAGGGGGCGTGGCGCCCCAAAAAAGATTTTTATAAGACCAAATCGAATTTAAAAAGATTTTTTTAAAAAATTCCATTTATTCAGAAGTATAAACCAGTCACTTGCACATTTTTACTCATGTAACTTTCACTGAATTTCGCGACCCATTCTCGGGAGGGGGGATGGGATGCCCCATCCCCTCGGTACGGCACTGGCTTGTACAGAAATCATTTTTTGCGTATTTTCTCAACACGAAATAAGCGATGAGTGGTTTTTCCACAAGCTGAGAAACTTTTCTGTGTGGGTGAATAAGAACGAGATAACGCCTATGTAGTACTTGGTTCACAGGCTATCACTCTCTGCTATGTACCGCTATTCTGCTTACGGTAACTACGTCATCCCAGTGTATGTAATCGGAGCTTTAAAATTTCGAATTCAAAGTTCAGTAGTGATTTTCGTCCGATTGAGGTGAAAAATTATATACAGGGTATTTCGTCTCGCTCTCTCCGATTATGATCGTACTTTGCGGAAAACTTCGAAATCTTTCACAAAAACCGACAAGAATCTAAAACTGTTATTTAGGAATTTCCTATGACGCTCTTTTTGAATATGATGGTGCCTAAAGCTTTGAGATTTCTTTCTTTTGAAATACTAATTTTTCGCAATCTTGATAAGATTGGTAATTCGATGCCTTCTAAAATGTCGTTCCAAAAAATGATGGATTTTATTGAAATCTCCCAATTTTCAAGAAGAAATTTCATGGTTCCAACAAAACCACCATCAAATTCGGAAACAGCATTACAGGATATCTTATATAAATTTACCCAAACCGACGAAACTACTACTGAACTTTGAATTTCAATAAAACCTTGGTTTTATACTATATGATGACGACGTAGTCACCGTGAGGAGAATCAGCTCGGCGTGCAAACTGGGTGCAAATCAGTTCATGACCCCTGAACACCTCTGTTAACTATGTGACTGCAAGTCTTTCGAGATATGTGAGTTCAGTTCTCCCACCACAAGCGGAACCAGGTAGTGAAGATGATTTTTACAGTTCAGCCCGATGTAACTAATCGAACACCCACAAAACTTTTTGGATGAGTTTATAGAAGACTTTGAAGGCAGCGTCCAGGCAGATCTGCACCTATGGGGATTTTACGTGGAAAGTAATTTTGGGGCCCTAACTAAGGCACTGTCCAAGCGGCAGCGCAGGTGAATCACTAACGGTTGAGATATGCGCCTCCAAAGTGGACCCCAGGATCGTGTTCGCATGGATTCATGGCAGTTTCGGGCGAGGACACACGCTTTGCGCCATGAATCCATGCGAAATATGATCGCGGGGTCCAGTTCCGAGGGGAATACCTCAGCCGTTAGAGCACTACCTGAGCTTCCGATTGGGCAGTGACTTAGTTAGTTAGGGCCCCAAAACTACCGTCCACGTGAAATCCCCATGTGTCCAGACTTGCCTGGACACATGGGGATTGCCTTTAACAAAGGTAGTTATTAACAGAAGAGGCAGTTTAATAAAATAGTCTACTCAGGGAGCTGATACATTTATATCAGCGTTTGGAACTTTGGAAGTGTGTGGGGAGTGCTGGAACTCAAACTGCTGGAACGTAGACGTCTCTGTGTGAAGCTGCAGAGGTCATTGCGTGAAAAAGTTTTAAAAAAAGTAAGATACTGCAGAAAGAACTATAAAACATCTCCTCTCAATGTTTTGGTCTCAGATAATGTGTGACTAATGGTGAAAACTTATGAGGACCAAAAGATCATAAGCATCCGTATCTGCAGTTAATGAGTACTTACGTTACTTTGAAGCAAGTTTAATGGCAGCAATGCTGATAGTGAAGCACAAGAAAAAATTTAAAAATGAGGCTGGAAAAAACGAAATAAGAGAGCACCAGAACAAGACTAATTGAGTTGTATAGGTTGATGCATAAGTCGTGCACTAGAGTTTTTGAAAATCATAATCTTCTCCTACTTCAATAAATTCGTGATTTGATGTATTTAAGAAAAAGAGAATGGTGCGCTTTCTGAGAGCGCTTGAACGAAAAAGCCTTGTTAACATACCGCACAATACACCACAAGTTGTCTTAAACTGAAAATCTTGGTGTGACTAGGTCAGCCAAAAGAAATTTCATCAAAATGTCAAGATTCATGAAAAATTAATCATGGATATCAAGTTGACTTGACTGAAACAAATATTCGAGATGTATATTCATGACCTGCTCTTTTCAGCAAAGCAGAATTTGTGCTGATAGAATGACTGAACAAACAGTTATTGTTTTCGAAATTTTATTACTTGATTTCGATCCAAAATTATCATTACTATTCAGATATTTTGTAAAATAATGCCTCTTCACATCTTATGGCGGCAGGTAAACATGAAACAAAGTGTAGGGTATTTCAAACTCAAAAATGGGTGGAAAATTTGTTCCAGAAATTTGAAGCCAACATACACGAAAATTTCACATACGCAAAAAAATTGAATCTCACAAGGGAAGCTTGTTTAGTCGAAGTGGCCCTTGCAAATGAGATGTATAACATATTAAAGGGCATAAAACGCTGATTCCAAATCTTTTTTATCGCAGAATGTTTACGGATGAGGAGTTACGAGCGTTTTTTGGAGCCAAAAATTGAATATGCCTTTTGGACAAAATGAGTTCCTAAAATCTTACGAGTCCTCACATAAAGCAATCAAGTGTGATAAATTTTTTACTTTAAAGTATTTTTCGAATAAATTGCTCTGATGATTATCACTGCTCCATTGAAGAGCTAGAAAAGTATAACGGCTATTTCTGGCCTACTTGCACATTCAATTTTTACTCCTATAAGCGCTCATAACTCTTCGTGCATCAACGTTCTGCAGATAAGGAAGATAGATTTGGAATCAACATGCCCTCCAATATGGTGTATGTTGCGTCAGTGATTTGTGTTGAATTTGACATTCCTCCATAAATCGCGTTTGTAGGATGCAGGGAGTTTATGGCTTTACCTCCAGAGATTCGTATTGTAAAATCGCCTATCTGAAAGCTTAAGACTGCTTAAACGATAGCATGTCGAATTTCGTTCCGTCAGTTTATAGATAAGGAAGAATCACGAAAGATATTAGGTTGGTCCGAAAGTTCTGTCCCTCCATTTTCAAAAAATCATAACTTCCACATCACGCTGTGTTTCCTCATGAATAAAAACGTGTTGGAAAGAGCAATTCATGCACTTTCGAAAACTACGTTGGCTGCTATCTGCTAAGCTCTGAATGCAGAAATAAAAATGGGAAAAGGAAATCACTTGAAGTTCCAAATTTTTAAGAAAGCCCGTTAAAAAATCCAAAACTGTGCCATAAAATCCAAAACAGCCACTATCCTGACTATTTTACCCCCTCGTTCTGGCTGAGCAAAGTTCGCGCTGATCTAGCTGTTCTTCGAAAAGTTATGATTTTCCGAAAAAATGTCAAAAACTCAATTTTCTTAAGAAACTGATTTTTTGCATTTTTTCTTGAAAAGCAAAAAAAAATCAAAAATCTTCTTTCAAAAGAGCTCGATCAGCGCGAAATTTGCTCAGGTGGAAAGAGGGGGTTAAAAGTCTCAGATAGTTGCTGTTTTGGATCTTATGGCACAGTTTTGGATTTTCTAACGGGCTTGCTTAAAAATTCCGAAATTGAAGTGATTATCTTTTATCAATTTTATCTCTACATTCAGAGCTTGTTAGATAGCAGCCAAAGTAGTTTTAGCAAGTACATGAGTTGCTTTTTTGAATAAAGTTTTAGCCGTGCGGAAACATCATGTTAGGAGGAAGTTACGATTTTTTGAAAATGGTGGGACAGAACTTTCGGACCAACCTAATACAATCGAGCGTCTAATGATAAGACTGTATGCTTGAACAAATCGAAGATCCCTAAAAATTAAACGAAAACACATTTTTAGTTCTTTAAGCACCTAGAGTCTTTTAGGATTTATCTTCGAACTTCACGTACAAAGTTGCAGCTTCGTGCGCATGTTCGGGATGCGTCTTGTAGAAGTTGACTCACAATTACCATTCAAAGATCTATTTTTTGAAAAGTTATCCACCGAAATTCATAAATTTCTTTATTTCTGGCGCAAAACTTACGCACAAAAATAAACAAAGCACGCTGCTCTAAAACTTGTTCTTGTGAAAATCTGAACACCCATTTTTGTTTGAATTCAGTTCCTGCAATGTGCAATGTGACCGAACCCCAGTACACAAACTCAGCATAAACGCTGTTTGTGTTTCGAAATTCTGCCACGGTTGATTGCTCTTAATAAATGCGATAGAGCAGAGGACTACAAAAGAAAAAACTAAAAGGAGAGAAGTAAACGAGTTCAAGAAGATAATGCAATAAATACACTCGATTGCTGAGAATCATTTGTCCCATTCCCTTCAAGAAGTTTTTGTCTGCAGTAAGAATGGAACCTGTACTAGACAGAAACTCGTTCGGCATGTACTTTAGATCATGATAATCTACTTGTTTCACATAACTTACTGTGAAAGTATACATTGAAAGTGTCTTTAACGATAAGTGGATTGAAAACCATAATATACGAAGAGATGGTTAACCTTGAATTGTGTTTATTTTGAGCATTCGGATGATTGATGATGTTTTTTAGTGTAAGTTTGGTCTTCGGTAATTATGGCCGCTAGACGTAGACAGTAGCTGCATGACAGTGAATTTTGTTCCTTGAATCACAAACTTTGGCAAAAAAATAACTCCGTTGATTAGCTGCTATTAGCCCACAGTAGACCGCATAGCACAGCAAACACGTATATCAAAAATAACGACTAAAGCGATCGTACAAAAACTTCCCCGTAGATCTGTTGGCGTTTCTGCAGCCGTATCTCAACGGTTGTAATCACATCATTTGCTAAGATCGCTGCGTAGGACTTGTTTTGCTTACATGCTTTTTATTTCTCTCATCTAAACATAGAACACCTTGATCAGACTTTTATTAATAAATACAGAGTTCTACATTCGCTTGGTCAAATTTATAGTCGCTTGGTTTTTTTTCGCCTCATCGGAAGAAGCAAGAAAACCTATGTGTAATCTGTTTGTTCTTCAAATGACCTTCAGTTCGTAATTCTCTCTTACGCAAGTTATAATTCGAGATAACGCTCGCAATGAATATGTCTCTCTATTACGTTCATATCGGTGTAGGATACTCGTAGTGCGTGTAAAAGATCTAGCACAAATCGGAAACTGCGGTTTTGGAAAAAGATTTGCAAAATGTCAGTGGAGATGAAGAGAGATTGTGCAGAGTGCAAATTCGACGAATAGTCCTTACAGTATTTTCACCGGATAATAGTAAGGAGAAAAAATGAGACTACTTACTAGATTTCTTTCAGAACAATAAAGCTGACAGGTTTTCAACGAATTAGAGAATACGGTGGCTTCGTTACGGTCGCATACGCAGAATATACAGATGATGATGAAGAGGACGTCACGCATTGACCGTTCACATTCGGCTAGAGACGAGTGATCGGCGCCGTCAAAATTCGCCCCGCCGCGCTAGCGATATTGATCGTCTCCAGACTTTCTATTGATCGAATTCTGATGGAGATCGATTATAATGATAGCGGTAATCAGTCATGCTTGGTGAACATCGCTCCCACAGTGGACGGTGACGAAGCGAACTGGTGAATGGCCTCTGGCGCCTCATTATTCCGTCTGATTTGCATGCAGTCGGATATGCGACCTCGCACTTTGTAATAAGCTCTAAAACAGGTTCTAAAAAGTGCTGCATAGGTGTATATCAACCTAGAGAGTAATAGCAAGTATCTGCCATCAATAACCACAGACACCTAGTATAACTATTGTGATTTTACTACAAAATCACCGGTTTGTTCCTGAAGCAAAGAAAAAGGTACATCTCTCTTCTCGGGCATAACAATGGCACACAATTCATACAACTTTTCACAAAACTTTTGTCTTTGTAAATGTGGAGCACTCTATTTCTGACATCATAAAGATTATAATGTAAGCTACAAATATAGGCTATCTGACGAATTTCGCCATTGCATGAAAAGGGTTACGGTAGCTTTACCGTATAGAGGGAGAATTTTGGATTGCTTCAGAATTGGCCTAAGGGAATTATTCAACGAACTGATTACATAAATGACGCTCATTCCGCACATGATTTTTCAATTTTATGTCTTACTAGCTGCGGTCCACCGTCGCGTCCGAGCCAAGGGTTCAAAATGGCCCGTCTGCTTCAAGAGGTTTGCTTACCATTCCTCCACTTCCTTCAGATCATATTTTCTCTTCCTCTCCTGCTTCAGCTCCAAGTCAGTTCCAGCACACGTGTAGTATCCGTGGTGAATTTGTCCTTCTTGACCGGCTCGCTTCGTGACACCATCCTCTTCACCGCAAAATGTAAATGATCTCTACCACTCCTTACTACTTAACTTGGAGAAATGAATGGTATAGCTTTCATTTTCCTACATGTAAGTAAACAAAGCAATAAATCGATGGAAGGACCCAGTGAATCGTCGCGAAAAGTAGCCTATCTTCTGCGCCTGGCCTCATAGGGGAGCAAATTTCAGCCTCATCGGTTCACAAACAAAGGAGTCTATAAGCCACATACTTGCATACGAACAAATTTACAGAGATTGAGTTTTATTTATAATCCATATATATTTATATATAGATTACCCAAAGTTGATAATCATATTCAGCTTCAAAATACTCTGAGAAGCCATAAATTTGGAGTTTTTCTGCTTAGTTATTGATAACTCCAAATATAGTGTTTTACTTCTAGGTTTCTGAATTATGCTTTATCAAGTAGAGAAGTACAATTTCTTGTTTAAGTCACCCATTAATAGGCCTTGATCACATTAGTTCCACTACTGTTTCTCGTCACTTCTGAAAATCTCAGGCAATCATTTAGAGATTGTAAGAGGACCGCTAGACGAACCAGGTGAGCTGAGCGCATCCCCTGATGAGAATATGGATGTCTTTGCCTACTCTACTGTAGCTTATAACATAAGCCACATTATAGTCGAGACCGGATAATCGCATTAATTGGTCAGAAAATTTGAAGAGTGAGTAATCTACAATTGCCACCTCGTATGATTACCTGAGTACCATATAAGTTAGTTGCATGCAATACCACTCGATAGAATTTTCGAAACCGCTGACTCATCATGTTCATGAATACAGGTAATTATCAGCTTATTTGAAATTCATGGTTTGCGTATATTCGATTATACAGGGTGTCCGTAAAGTATGTATACACTGTTTGATCGTTAATATCCTTCTTCCGAACAAGTCTTTTGCCTTGCTTTAGGTACCATTTTGTAGAGCTGGCTTCAACTTAGATTTGCAGTATAGAACGAATCACCCATCTCTCTTCATTACTGTAGGATTACGGTAGAAACTTGAAACATATGGTGTCAATGTGGAAAAAGCTGCCGTTTCAAAATTTTTCAAAAGAATGTAAAAACTTGTGTGATGGGATTTTTATGGACGCTGAGTTCAATACTCAACTATTCACAAGATTGCGAAGCAATCTAAACGGTGTAACCGCACTTTTAGGAACATTGAAAAAATGGCCGCTGCCTCTTACCCGGCATAATTCTTCAGTGAAGCATCATGATAAGTTGGATCTTTACAGTTAGAATCAACAACTCTTTTAGCCTAGTGTAAAAGCTTTCAGGCTGTTTTGTTTCCTTTCTGAGGCAAAATATGGCCCTTTATGGCTCAAAACCCTCGTTGAAGTTACTACCATAGTCCTACAGTAATGAAGAGAGGTGGGTGATTCGTTCTAAACTCATAATCTAAGTTGAGGCCAGCTCTACAAAATGGTACCTGAAGCTAAGCAAAAGACTTGTCGGGAAGGAAGATATTAACCATCAAACAGTGTATACATACTTTACGGACACCCTGTATACCCTGTATATTAGGTTGTCCCGAAAGTTTTGTCCGTTTTTTCAAACCACCATAAAAACCAGGTACAATAAACGCATAAACGACTTTTGACATGTATTCAGCTTTCTTTCCCTTTCTTAGAGACACATTTCCGTACTACAGCTTTGTATTCTTTTTCTGATAATTGCCAGAATTCTCCACCCGTCAATTTTATCTGCTCAAAGTTTGGCTAATTTTTAAAAAATCCATTCCGAAGTTCCGGATAAGCTTAAGCGTGATTTAAATAGAGCAATTCTCGGACTACAAGGTAATATTTTTAGATTCTCTAGTCTGCTGTTTTCAACTTTGAAAAATTGTTTTTTTCGAAGGCCTCGATTTTTGGCCAAGTCATGAAACACGCAACGGCAGCAAATACGCGAAAGCTTTCGAAGTTTCTGTGAATTGAAACATTCCCTTAAACACACTGACGACCGCTTGACACACCATGACTCTCATTAAAATGGCTACGAATTTGTGTCAAACCAACTTCGGAAGTTTTCTTTTATGCTGAATTTAGATCCAACTTCTACTGTTTTTGCCAGCATTCCAGCGCTACTGTAGGTGTACTGTAGATGGAATTGTGTGTGATTTTATCTGAGAATGTTGGCTGGTCCGAGAAAGTTTCGGTCGTCGATGTGTTAAACATCATTTATGCAACATAATCAAGTCTGATTTGCTTTGAAAAAAGCAGACTTTTGGAATTTTGGGTATTTTTACGTGGTAAACATATCAAAAAGCCGTGGTTTTTATTGGATTAATAATTATAACGGGCCTGGTAGACGCGATCCATGTGATCTAAAACAAGTGCAATGTAGACAAAGATTTGCTCTACATAACAGTCACCAGCGCTCTTCAAAAACATCAGTATGAAAATTTCTAAAATTCAGGAAAGATTTAACGTTACTGCTGAGCTGCTCAAAAAGCCATGGCGATAACATTTCAAAGACAGGGGAGATCAGAGAGCAAATATAGCTGCAAGAAAGAGGATAAAATTATAAATCAAATGGTAGCTAAGTCGTCCATGGATTGGTATTCTGTGAGTTTTAGTGAGCGATGAAAGAAACGGACAAAACTTTCGGGACAACCTAATAAATACCTAACTTTCTTAGTTTATTGATCATCTGACAACGATCGAAAGCAAGCATTTGCGTAACTCGCAAATTTATAGCTTCAAAAGCTATTCGACTCAGAGTGAGCATTTTTCTCGAGGGTTTGAAAAAAAAAACAGATAAAAAACAGCGGTGACCTTCACAAGGCATTTCCAATAGTACGCTATAATTACTTCAAATGGTTCCGCCAACAAAGGTCCATCACTTCTTTCTAGTAAGAAACTGCAAGCGGCTTTTTCGCTGGACCCCCTTCTGACTTATAAGCAGGGTTGAGCTTGGGGTCAGGCGCGCCCGGTCTGGAGGGTCGTATTTGGGGTAAGGTAAGGCTGAGGGAAGAGGGAGTAATCAAGGCGAATTTGTTCACAAAATGGAGGGGATGCTACGGTGAAAAGTAAAATGAAAAAGAAGAGCGCTAGACCAGTGAATATCATTCTACCGGAGAGGAAATGACTGTCGTTAATTGCATATTGGTAACTCCATTAACGAAATTTTTGCCAACGGTAAGGTCAACAAAGAGGCTTGCTGTGTAAAGTAGGTAAGATTCCCGTAATCAGCACGCCAAATTACCTATACGAACTCTGCAAACGACCACATATCACATTTTCTAGTGTTTTCTAACATCTATGAAGCGTCATTTTCAGACATGATTAACTTGCTCACGAAAGTAAAAGGTTTGCTTTCTTCTGCTTAAAACGAAGTAATGCTCTTTATCAGTCTATGGTAGAAATTACTCCTATCGCTTTCACAAAGTGGATCATGAAGTGCGGCGAACATTTCAATTACCGCGTTTTCCACCTTGAATGCTTCAATTCCACCGATCACCACAAAGCCGTAACGAGTCCAAGTAAGCTCAAACACCTACTATAAAATCTTCGAGGTTTGTGCTAGCAAATCACATAGAAAGTGAGTGGGAAAGATTCCTCGGTGACAAAGTTAACCGGATCAGGCGCAACCCCTTAAAAGCTCAGGCGGCCTGAGCTTTTGAGGGGTTGTGCTGACCTCCTTAACATGTTTTCATAATCCAGAAATCGCTCCATTCCTGGTACGAATATTGAGCTCATAGCTACTTCTTACTACAGTGAAAATTTGGAGCCAAACGCCCCAGCCTCAAAGAAATTATAATCCTTGAAACAGACCCATTCAGATGAAAATCGACCGTCAAATTACGTGTGTTTTAAAGTGCAATCTCGGGAAATTGGGCGTACAGACTTCAAAAATCCAGAAGCTCTTTAGAAGGATGGCGTCTTCTAGAATGTCACTGTCTGAGGTCCCGGAGGTCAAAAAGGAGGAAGAAGGATTTCGACTGGGGCTTTCAGAGGGGAAACTTGTGCCTGACCTCTTGCTCACCTCTGCTTATAAGGATCACCGTTGCGGTAGAAGTACATCAAACATGGGAATGAGAAAGTTGAGGAAGCCTTGGCCTTGCCGAATGGGTGTAAGATTTCGTTTGGCGCGACTCACGCTTGCTACCGTATGCCGTGATTTTTCTGAAAAAGATTTTGACTCTTCAGAAAAATATGATGAGTTCGGAATCTGCAATTTTTCTCTTGCAAATGAAAAACGGTACAACATCGAACTTACTTTGTGCATTCAAGACAGTCAAGGAATTCATCTTTGAAAACGTAGGCATCGTAGCTGAGATCGCATGATTCGACAAAATTTAATCAATCATAGTGTTCGCACGTTCAATTCTTATTGAAAATTCCATTTCCAAAGTTATTTGATCCTTTTTTCCTTGATCAATATGCGATAACAGATAATGTCAAATTTTTGTGCTATCCAATGCGTCTGTAGATTATCGGGATGGCATCAAAGTTTAACAGTTTTCCTCTTAACCTTTATTTGATGGATTCATTTCCTTGCATTACATAGATTATGATACGACCCACAAACTGCATGAACTGCTTGATTTTTAAAAACAAGGCAACATCTGAACAATTTCAAAAACTATAGAGTGCAGGTGAAACATGCAAGTGTGAACCACACTGCTGCAAACGTTATGCACTCATACTACTAACCACTATTATCAACCTCATCTGCAGTGTTATGAGCAAGACCAAAATTATAGCTTGGAAAGGAGACTGAAAAGGTAAAGGGAAACTCCTAGTAAACCGGCAACAGGAGGAGAAGAAAAAAACGAGGAAAAAGAAATAAAAGAAAAGAATAGCGCTACCTAATGACAAATACTAACGCAGTGAAGGGCAAAATTTTAGAGCAGCTGCATCAACGCAAGCAAACAAAAAGAATGGAACTTATGCAGCAAGTTGATAAACAGGGTGTCTCAAAAAATGTGAACACTGCTTGATCGCTAGTTTTCTTGCTTTCGCGTCTTTCGCCGAGCTTGAACTGCCATTCTGTAGAGCGAGGTCCAACTTAGATCTACAAAAATTAGCAAATCATCAGTCATCTTCACTACTGTAGGATAACGGTAAGGAATTCGAGAAGGACCTCAGATGGAAAACCAAACAAGCCAAAAACTCTTGTACTGGACTAATCAAAGTCACTGATTCAAAAATAAATGTAAAAGTTGAACTTCACTGGAATCCTTCTTTTAGAAGTTATTTCATGCTTAGGGTAGCGACGTTCTCCGAATGTTTGTCAAAGGTGCGTTTACACCATTAAAAACTTCGAAAAACTGGTAAAAAATTATGTAAGGAAATCAGCATGCCCGAATACCTTGCTACGCAGATTTTTGAATTTCTCGGAATTTTTTTCAGCACAAGGCTCACTCCACAGTGGCGCTTTCTCTTGATTTATACCGTAATCCTATAGTAGAAGAAAGAACGGAGATTCGTCTTATGCTGTAAACCTAATTTGAACCTTGCTCTACAGAATCTAACTCAAGCTCGGTGAAAGGCATGAAAGCTGGAAAGTTATTAACAGTCAAACACTGTTCACATTTTTGAACACCCTCAGAAACAGTCAGTCAGAAGGCTACCCTTTTACTCTTGTATTACTACATTGTTAGAATGGAAAGCAGATCTACGAGAGAAAGGTTGACCGAAAACTGTTTGGCTTTGGTCATACTGCACGCGATTGTAGTCGCCAAGGTACATATGTGGTTATTTTCCAGAAGATTTTCTAGATCCACCGCCGGCATATCAAAAATGCCCACTTACACATAGTTTTCACCGAATGAGGACTTGAAAAGCTTTGAGAAAAGCTCATTTTCGCCATTTTCATGCACTGAAGAGCCCAGATATGGGTTCCTCATGACGAGAAGGTTCCGAAAAGGTGGAAAACTGGAAAACGAGATTTTGCCGGGACGGTGCCTCAAGTCATCTGGTAATCTTAACACTTACTCAAGAGGAGAAAGTTTCCAAAGAGCGAAACGCCATTCCAGGCAGGGTCGACACTTTGTCACATGATTCTTAGGCTTTGCGCCTAATACTGTTGTGTGTTCACATCGCACTTTGTATTTCACCGCATTCTTGATTACCTAGTCACCTCAAGATCTTGTATTTACGCTGATTTCTTGTCTGATGTTCGTTTCAGTTTGATCATCTTGCTTTTACGAGTCTTCCTTTTCTCTTCGATGCATCCGATGTATGTGGAACTGTTAGAGTAATGCAGAAATGATAGAACATCTTGCTTTTATTCGAAAAAGCTTCCCAAGCTCTTTTGAAACTGCAAAAAAGGCATTCTAAAGAAGCAAGATTGTAGAGAGTTTACCCTGTAAACCCAAATATCTTTTGATAATCTCATAACTCTGATCTTTACTTTAATAATCTACGGCGCTTTAATTTGTGTTTTATTTTTATCTTTCCACACGATATTCATCTTCCTGAATTTACAGGATAGTTAACATCGCGTTTTCGAGTTCTTTTTCTTTTATTTCGGTGCTTAAATGTATTCAATAAATAATTGAAATAAAATAAAAATCGAAATGAGGTGCACATGCATGTATCTCTAACAATCCAAGTTAAAACCTTTGCATTCAGTGATGTGATGCTTGCGTAGTTTCTAACACATTCGCCTATATTGCCTCTTTATACAGCTGCCTATCCAGTCCGATTGGATTTTGATCCAGACTTGTCTTTCGTATACAGATCAGCTCTCAAAGTTACATATGTACCCTTACTTTGACACACTTTCAACTTGTGAAAGAAACATGGCTTTTTGGTTGTGTCGAAGATCCAAGTAAAGCTATATTTCTTAACATCACTTCCTTTACAAGAAGAATGTTGCAAGCTAAAATGCATTCGCACAGTTGCAGGAGTACTGAAGTCATAGTGATTTGAAAAATCTACTCAAGATTCTACTCCTTAAGTTTTTTCATTTCTTTAAAACTTCCTCGTTGTTTCTTCTGGACGGGTTTCGAGTACAACGATCACACGGTCACATCGTTGAATTCGTCGAAAAGATAAGAGCAGCAGATAAGATAGTGCTAAAAACGAAATCTGGCGACTTTTTTGAAAGGAAACTTGACTTTGACCCAACCCTATGAGCATGACATGCACGTGATTTAGACTATCACCCAGTAGCTCTTCAAGTAGCAATGGAATTTTTTACAAAATCTCTAAAATTGAATGAAATGCCGAATGGATTGTAGTCATTTCGGTCCCTCGCACGTCGCCAGTAAGTGGTGTCTTACTATTGGCTTCTCATTATCAAATGAAAGTATGAATGCGAAAAATATTCCAAAAATGCTACTCGAGATCAGCAACTGCTTCACTTCGGGAGAAAGGATGGCCATCTAGTTGACTACATCTTTTAGCATCAGCTATGGGTTGTACTCAAATTTGCCGTTCAGTCCTTCAGCAATGCTGCTGATCTTCAAATTTTTTGTGACTTACGGCGGTGCTCAAAAACAGCAGATGCACCACACAAGAAACTGGTACCTTATCCGCAAAATTCCGGGTAACTCAAAACGCGAAGAACTTTGCCTAAAAAGCTTCAAAGTTTAACCATTGGTCCAGTACGGTTCGCGATAAGCGTTTTCATTTCAATGCGGCCTAATCAGCACTAGGAAAAGCTATATAGTCTATGAAGAAGGTTCGATGTTCGCTTCAATCAAACCGTCTATACTTACATAATGTGCGGTAGTAACAACATGTTTGAATGCGGGAACGTAAGTTGCTTTTTGCCTTCTTTACATTTAAGGAAATTATTAATCATCAAAGCAAAGCCCTTTTAGCCGGAAACATCGTACACTATCATCTTGCCAACCACCTATGAACCATTACATATCATTGATGAGGTAGTAGAAGAGCAGGAAGGTGTTGTCCCACCGACGCAAGAAAGAAAAGACTCCTCAAGAACAGGTAAAATCTATCCCTTGAAATTTAATGAAGTACTTAGTTTAAACCTACAAAATTCGAAGCTTTAGCGCAAGTACAAAAACATGTTTTTTAGTTTCGATCGCAGTGCCGGAAGTACAACGAGCGTTTCCTGAAGTTGGCTCTTTTGGATCATATGGAAAGACAGGCCTTGCTTGTTGATAGGTTATAGGTGTATTCATCAAAATAAATGCGTTCATCAAAATAGAGAAAGTTAAAGAGAGAGGCCGTGCTCATCTTGGTCTCATCTAATTTTTATCGATAGATGCAAAAATGTCAAGCTTGGTGAACGTAAAGTACATCCCAAATATGATTATCAAAAAAGTGAGCACAGCATCAGCAGAGATATGTGAGATATATACAAGAAATAGAGATATATACATGTTTCATCAGTAAAAAATACAAACAGTTACTTCAACCTCGTTATCATCGCAGTTCAGATAATCTTTACCTTGGCATTTTATCTTAGTCATGCATCCGTATTTCACTTTTCTGCCTCGTTTTGGTTGCAGCTGGAATTAATGAGTTTTCGTTTTTAGCAATGCAATTGGGAAAGAGTTTGTAGCTGTGTACGGAAGTTACCGAGATAGAAACATTCTCAGAAATTTTTATGAGAAACATTCCCAGAAGTTTTTATGCTCTCCTTCTCCCCCCCCCCCCCTTCAAAAAGGAACAATGTATTAGGTTGGTGCAAAAATAATGAGCGTGGAGCTCTCATTTTGACTGTGCTGTAACTTTCTTAAAAATCTACATGCATCATTCTATGCTCATATCATAAACGGGCAGATTAATGGTTTTGATAAAAAAAAGGTTTTCTTCTGAAACCTAATTTCTAAGAAATCATAACTTTCTTCAAAGTTTGTTAGCGTAAATAACAAGTAGCCCGTATTGTAGCAACAAGCCAGTAATACAAAACAAGTTGGAAGATGTTTGGATACAGAGGGCCTGCGAAAGAGAAAAAAAAATTAAAATTTAAAATAGTAACTTTTCTAACATCTTTTCATACTCCTCAAAGCCAAAATTCTGGAATTTTTTGATTTTCTGCATATTGGACAACCAAACGTTTTGCAAAACTGTTAACAGAGGCTTACCTTTACGCGTACAGAAATGAGCAAAGCTTTGGCGATTGCCTTCTTTAAAGCGAAGTTCTCCAGAGACCAAAACGACTACCCTTTTGAGGAGCCGACATCTCAGTCTAGGTAATTTCTAAGAAAATAGTAAAGTGCGCATAGTTGCAATTTCTATTACACGCAGTAGCTGAATTTCCAGAAGAATGCCGTCATCCGCGGTTGATTTCTGGTCAAAGAAGTAAGTGCAATGAAATTCTGGTTTTGAGTACGGTCGTTCAGGGCTTCAAAATTCTAACAAATTGGCTAGTCCGTTCCATCCACTGCTAGATAGGGTATGGAAAGGGATTCTGACAATGGCCAAGTTTTTCCAAAAAAGAAAGCTTTATCGATAACAGTTGTTCTGGAACAAGGTCTAGAAAACGCCCATTATATTTGCACCAACCTAATGTATGGGCATTCAGTTTTCGAAAACATGAAGGCTGAAGTGCACATATGTATATAGGAAAGGGGTAAATAATATACCAAATTGATGATGATTTTCGACGTTGCCTTATTCACATGAACCTAATGCAAACTCACAATTCATGGGAAAGCTTACCATTGTTAGATTTTTGAACCACTTCATCTGGAGGTTAACAACTAGCGTTGCCAGCATAACGGGCCTGCAAAACACGGACCCTTAGAGTGATAAGGCTCACTAATTCTAAGCATACTCTGAGTTATAGACGAGCATTGTGCCGTCCCCCTCATAAGTAATGTTTGGCCATTGATCGACATAGTATGAAGCATTTACTTCGAATTGACAGAAGCGCCTCTGAAGAGTCATTTAAGAACCAAGCAGAAAACGAAAAACGAGAAAGTAGTCATCTTTTTTCCGGCCACGTTTTGTGATGTTCAACAAATAAAGATATCATATGCAGCTCTAAAAATTTACCCACCAATCTCACTTCTGATAGAAGCCACATTTGGTGAAAAAGTCTATAGAATAGACGTTGATATGGGTCGCACTCGTACTTTTCTTCAAAAATTGAAGACCCTTGAGTACGTAGTATCTTAAATTTCTATGTTTGTTGAGGGTACAGAATGATAATGTGACTTACGATTATAACCAGCCAGAGCTTATTCATGGCCAAAATTGTCCTCATGATAAGAATCCTGCCAACTTTGGCGCTGTTCTAACATAAACAAAAAAACAGATTATAAGAACGCAGAACTTTTAAGATTATTCTCTTCAGCCATTCATGGGCTCTCTCTCTACTTACTAACAATTGATTTCGAATAGATTAGAATGACAAATGAGCCTTAAATTTTCTGCTTATTCAATTTGGTAAGGAAGTTATACACAGGCGCATTTGAATGACTCTGTTAGAGCCACTAACTTTTGAAATATTGTTGCTTTTATCGTGCTGCAAGCGTAGATAAACTAAGAGTTCAGCTGTACAGCACCAGTTCTGCGACCTATTCGCTATTTGATAATTATTGGCAAGTGCGATGGAGCAGAGGCAGCAATCATTGTCTGTGAAATTCATGAATTTGTACCTGATCACATTCTAAAGCATTGCCATTGATGAATTTCGAAACAATTTTCGAAAGTGGTCAGCAGCGCTGCTGAATAGATCACTTTTAAAAATGAGTGAATTAGTGGAGCAAATTGCGAATCTCTCTTTTCTAGCTCTTTAGAAAGCATTCTTGAGGCAGAATGAAAGATTAGAGACACATTCGCTCGATCAAATGATAAACATCAAAAGAAGAGTCCTGCACTAGCAGTAAGAGTTGTGAGCACAGATTACGTCATACCAGGCCTAGGAGACTTATTGCTAATTTCAGATACGAACCCATTTGTAGTGCATAGTCGATACTCCACTTCTATCCGCATCTTCCCTGCGAACGGACGGCTATGTTCTGGTCTTGATCTAACAAGGGAAGGATACGAAGTCGCAGTGAGGAGCCGAAATGAAATGCATACCAGATGCGCGTTGGTGAGCTCCGAATCTTCCTTCCTTTCAAGCTAAAGGCTTCTCTAAAAAAAGCTATGGGCGGTCAAAGGTGTGATATTGTTGAAGTTTTGTTGCGTAATGTGCTTTGAAAATCAGATTGAGTGATTAATAGGCACGGCTCTGAGTGCAATGACTACATGGAATGCACAAAAACAGATAAATGTTTTTGATCAAATAATTCTCGAAGATGTGGCACTGAATGTCTGCCAATTTTGGACGTTTAATCCCTCATGGCTTCTTCTAGATAAGCGCCTAGCAGATATTGAATCTAGATTTGGAATCAGCTCTTAAAACGCATCTAATGATATGCATTTCATTTCGATTCGTCATTGCGACCTGGTATTCTTCCCTTGTAAGCCATCAAGCAGGACTATGAAGATTCGGTGGAAAAACTGTGACTGGTATGATCTCTTGTCAACGAAGACGATCTAGAGCCTAACCTAATTCAAAAATGGAATCATGCAATCAATGCAGCCGCTGCGGATGAATAAAGATTCATCCGCAGCGGCTGCATCTGAAGATTTATTTATCTAGCAAATATCAATGGATCCGCAGGAAGAAATTCTGCTGGCCATTGCAATTTCAAGCAGACTTCCGTGATAAGAATTAGATTTTTACATTATTGCCATAGCACGTGCAGTCCTTCCACGTGTCTTTTGTGTCTAGCAAAATGAAATGCAACAGTTTCGATCCTCACTGCAAAATGATGTTATGGCTTGATGAAAAAAAATGTGACAACAACTTCAACATGGCCTCTGCATCCATGCAACTATGCGCATGGGTCCTGAAGTCATTCTGCATGATCCATTCTTTTTTTTCACCCATCGTATAAGTTCAATCATTCTCAGCTGAGAAAATATATTTGGGTTTATGGTACACCCTGTACTCAAGGTGAACTACAAGTTTGCATAGTACGTCAATTAAACAATACGCTAAAACTAGTCAGTGGAAAGGAGACGAGTTTTTGCCCAGAGTTTGAGCAACTCGCTTCAGTTGTTTTTTATTGAACAATGCAATAGCACTGAAGCTAATTTTCACCGATAAATGGAAATCACTGTCAACAGCACTTTGTAATTTCTGTTCGCTCAAAGCTATTTCTGAACTCATTAACAAAACTCATCGCGAATTGTTTAAAGCGCACGTAAATTGAGCTCACTTGTTACTTATTTAGCAACATTTAGCCGCTGTTTCGCTGAAAACATTCGGAGGATTAAGCCTCTCAAATGTTTTTTAAAAGTAGGATCGAAGTCTGTTTTCCAAGCAGAAAAGTACCCGAGGTCGCCGCTGGCTTTGCACAGGAGATGTGAAAGTAGATACTCGTACGGAACGCTGATCCCAAATCTGTTTTTGTATCTATCTGCAAAGTGACTTTCTGCAGGAAGTTATGAGCGTTTTCCGATGACAACTCATTGTTGCAGGATGTCAGTGGACAATATAAGATGCAAGATATTATCTGTATATCCGGTATGTAACCCTATACCTTATTACTTTCCTACTTATTACACTATCATGCATCATTCCATTCCCATATGATTTGTTTACAGATTGTCCGACGCCGATGCTCGCCAGATGCCACCAGACAGAGAGGGAGGAGCGACTTCAAGACAGTGAGGATCGTACAACGATGGAGCCACCTTGTCTATGGGCTCAGATCTCCTTGTTCTTATCTGTTCTATTAATGTTGTTTTTCCCGGGGTATTGATATTGATCTTGTTTTGGTGCAATAAGGATAAATGTATGTGTTAGAAGATGTTTTTGTGGACTGATATTATCACTGATGTTGCTCCGTAGCATAAAACAGGCAACTTGGTCAGCACTGATGCTTTTGACTGTTGGGTATCGCACAAATTTCATCAAAGGAAACGTCCATAACATGCTTCAGGAAATCTCTTTGCAGATAGAGGTTGGTTGTAACATAGGTTTCAGATCAGCGTTGCAAGACAAGTATTTTCACACACATTCTAAATGGGAAGGGCGCGTTGTCTCGAGCCCTTCACTCGGCCTTCAAGGCATTTGGAGGGTTCATAATAGCAACTTGTACTAACTGCATCTTTACAAGGATATGCACTGATTTTACGTCATTACCACTCTACAGAACATACAATTGATAAAAAAGAGTTTCAAATGGTTTTTCTCAAGAAAATCAACCCCCCTTAACTATCTTCTTCTCCTTGTTTTTTGGTTAGACAATATGGCTAATTGTTTGATTACGATGTCTTCCAAATCTACAAATTACTAGGTTCATTCATAATTATTGCAAGTTTTTCACACTTCTTTTTCCAAAGGCTGGTTTTCAAAGCGAAATCAACTATTTCAAAACTTTTCATATCAGTTGAAAGAACATTTCTTTTGGTTTCTAACAAATGCTTTTGTTTTCGGAGATTTCGGTTTTTTCTAAAGTTTTGAGCCTTCAAAATTAGTAGATAAATATCAAACTTTTTTCCTATCGCTCTCTTTGCTATAAATCCACGAATAATCATTGAATTTAAGTATTTCAAAAGATGTGCATAACTATTGCTAAGCATTGTGCTACAGACTCTTTCTTGACTAAGATTTTTTAAGAGTTTTCAACAGAGAATTTTCTTTGCAATTGGGTGGTCGTTAAGAGTTTTTGTGCCTTGTAAAAGACGTCAGCAAAAAGCGGTCACAAACCTTCACTATACAGCAAGGTGAACCCAGTACATGTACTGGGTTCACCTTGCTGTATAGTGAAGGTATGTACTGTACTGTACTGGTATGAAAACGATAGAATTCTCCACTTTTTAGCGCAAAAAAATTTGTGAATTAAGAAAAGGGCAATTTTTGTTATGGTCTCTCAAACTAGAGGTTTCCAGAGAAACTTCTTGGCAGTTTCATGCTAGAAAATCTTTCTTGTCACGGTTGCAGTTCTACAGAAACATAGGTTTTATAGCCGATGGTGGTCACTCTACGATAATAAAACAAATCAGCAAATCAGCAATCTTTTCTTCGGAAGCTTTCAATATGGTAGTCTTCCAAGATGTAAGCAGTGCATTTGAGCAGTCTTTCCGACAACACTTATCCCACTCCTGAAAATCCAGTATGATGCACAAGGCTCCCTTCACTTGTGCATCATTTTCTCTAAGGAAAATGACTATGAACGTAAAATGAACCAAGCAAAACACTGGAGGATGATAAAAACCAAAGGGACTGAATGAACAAATTAAAGTAAGAGAATCTTTTCCTGACTCTCGATCCTACGAGGGAGAGAACAAGGAAAAAGCAAAAGGTTCTTTTTTGCACGTTACCTACAATGTTGGAAAGGTTTCAAAGTCATTTTGCTTAACGCTCTTTTCACATCCTAGATAAAAGGATAAAGGATTCGGCGTCTTCAATACCCTCTGAGGCATGCGCCGAACGCACACACTAACTTATGGTCGAAGAGGCAATTGTATGCGTGCGAGCCTATTACGGTGACTTGCGGGGGCCACCCGTTTCCAAGTCAGTGCTTTTATCCTCCCAGATTACTCTGGTACCAATTACCGGCCCCGGAGGGTGGAGGGCTTGGGTGGCCCGGGGGCGCCATCGAACCTGTGTCCGATCTGGTCATAGCGGCGCCTCATACCACTACGCCACTCGTCCCCCTCTCATCCTAGATAAGTGTTCTATTTCCAGAAAGGGTCACCTACTTGTCGTTCTCAATGAAAACTTTTACGATCTTACGACAGCTCCAACAAACATTGTCTTCAAATATCTTTCAAGATATTGTTTTCTTCCACATCATTCAGAAGTTGCGATTGAAAGGAATAAGAATGCGATTATAGAAGAAACAACAATTTATCTTATTATCAGTGAACTTTCACGCTTAATCGTTGCATCAAACAGTGCATTTGGTGAGATCTGGTGCATTAACCCGTTGAATGTGATATAAGCTCACTGTACATATGCGATCACAGCATAGCATGGTGACTTCCATAGCTCCTTGATTTCTGAAATCTAATGTTGGGGGGAAGGTGGGTCGAGAACATTGCAAATATAAGCTCACCTCGTGATTGATCAGGGTATTAACAATATCATCACAGCGATGAATTCTTCTATGTCTGGTCCCCATAATCACCGCTAGGTTTCAAGCAATAGCACTCAAGAAGCTTCATTGCTGTGGGTCGAAGTCGACGCTTCATTTGAGGGCTAAAGTTTCGTTGCCTTTGTTTTACCTTATTTTCTTTACCGCGAAATTTCCCATGCTTTTTGTGATTTTTTGTGATGAGCAGTATATGGTCGATTTTTGATAGTGGTACTCATTAAAAAAGAAAGTTTCTTACCTGTAGAAAATATACAAGTAGAAAAGTACTGCATGGTGAGTGTAAAGGAGAAAGTGAGCCAAAAGTGAAAAGTTTTGCATTATTGGACTCTGAAAAAGTGGGGTGAATTTGAGGAAGCCGATATAGGGCATCTCTTACCTGAGCATCGATACCTAAAATGTTTGTTGCCATTCTATAAATGTAGTTGGGCATGTTCAAGATGATAAAAGCCCAAGTAACAACCATTAGTGAGCGAGTCAATTGCACATCGGTATACTTGAGACCTAAACTTTCGAGGATCGGAAGCTATTTGTTAACTTCTTAGAGGTGTGAAGTATCGCCATACCTTTTTTAGACTTCTTCTTTGGCTTGTCTAAATCAAGTGGTAAATGAGCAGAGAGCCGTCCAAGCGAAACCCTGAGAAGGAAAATCTTATTTATTACTTTTCGCATTCTAATCGCTAACGAATTGTCGCAAACCTGGTATAACTTCTAACTCCTTGGCTTTGTAAAGAAGTCGCCGATGTCAAGGGTGCCTCTGCTTCTGGAGTATTGAAGGATACCGCAGGCGAACTGGGATACTTCCTAGAGCATGTATAGTCTAGACAAATGGATAAGGATTAGTCACATTTTTAAATCTCTCATAGCACTCAAGGTTTTCGCATGTTATCTAGACTTATTGATAATTCCACAACACAGCCTAAAGTTTGTGCGAAATCTACTATGCGCAAAAAGAGTCAGGGAACTTTTGAGTAGAAATCCTAGGTATAAAAGTAGGGGTATCTGGCTTGATGAATTGAAGTGCCACTCAGAAGTAAGTGGCACATGCTGAAACGGAAATAACCACAATGAAAAGTATAGCATCTTCGCTCCTTCTGGAAACAACTTTGGCATTCAATCGTACGAACAAATTGGTAGGGCTTGGACTTGGATTCAAAAACTAGGGCTTTCTTGACAGACTCTCTTGCACTTTTGCTTGAGAGATGAAAGCTATTGTGATTAGGTCGGCTCTCACTGTTTTAGATTTAGTGCAGATAGGGGGAGTAAAAATCACTCTATCGACTTCGATAATGCTTGTTTATGTTCATTCCAACACTTGTGGTACTGATAATCTCGCACCAACCTGATGTGAGCGTTTAGTTTACAGATGACCAGCACATTGGAGGTGAAGATGATAATGGAAGGCACAACCATACACACGATTGTCTGGAATAGAGATAAAGTCCTCGTTTTATTGAGAAAGCGATTGAAAATAATATCTTCATTCAAACAATTTCACATTATTTTTATTTTTGTTGAACACGAAGCACAGAGAATTCTGTGGCTTTTAGCAGACATTAGGTAATTATAACAGATAAATTAAGATACGGTGAATTTCCGTTCTAAAATCATCGAATTTAACTCAGATTCCATATTTTGACTGAAGAAAGAATCTCTTTTCTGCAGCAATTAGCATCACGTATATTTCATAGAAGTTGAGTATGTTTCAGGGCTTCCACCCGCTAAAAAAGCTATTGATAACTCCGACAGTCATCTGATTGTAGATTTAGAATTGCGCTAGGAAGATCAAACTAAGTAAGCTAAATTATCTGTGTGATAGACCGTCAGTGGTAATTAACCCATGCAGAATGCTTTTATCCAATACTATTGAGTCAGCTGCTCTTCCAAATGTTGGAGCTTGGATCAAGATGTTTTTTTATGTTACCTAATACGAGAAAGAACAGATAAGTTTGGGAAAAATTATATGCATAACTGAACTTCAAATGTTTACCTCTAAGACTGTCATAATGTGGTATATCCTATCAAACTTCGGATCAATGTCACAGATGCCCTCTTGGATCGAAGCCACATAGAGGATCCACGAATTGAAAAGCATTGCGATAACAATTAGCGCTACCACCTGTGCACATGCCCTGGAATTCGATTTGCTCTCAAGGGTGCTTCGAAGCTTCTGGCAACCTACTTCTCCGTGGTCAGACTTCGAGTTTTCCTGTGGAGTAGGATTAGTCGTTCGCATCCGAGTAGAACAATGAGCCAAACGCTGGAGAAGTCGCAAACATGAGCGAGAAACTGGTTGACTTTGCAGCTGATGTTACGGAACTCATCTCCGATTAGGCTGTCCTAAAATGTTGATTTTATTCTTCCAAATAAAAGTGCAATCGTAACCACAAATACAAATGAATGGATATTTTGTAATGAGCCAACCTTTGAAGGAAATAATGAAAGTGAAAAAAATCTTGGAAACTCAGTGTGACCTTTTTGCTGTACAAATAAGACAATTGATGGCCTTCTTTCTTTAAAGTATGACAAAAAATGACCGCCTGAGCGCAGCACTCAACAAAAAATTTTTATCTAGTATTTCCACGCCAAAATGCTAGCTTTTCTTTCACCCCGTTATTTTTGAATTCTTCGAAGCCGAACACTTGCAAAGATTCACCAAAGCATTAGTTTTCCTTGTTTAGAACTCCTTTGGAATTTTAGGGCCAAATTAGTTATCTGCAGCTAAGGAGGATGCCACCGTGGTAAGTACCGCTAGTTAATAAGCCGTTTTATTAGGCATATCGCTCGACTGAGCCTACCTTGTAACGCTATTCCGGCATGGCACTTGAAGGAACATTCAAGAAGAGCTATGTGAGAGAAAACAAAACTGATACTTTCAGAGTTGTTTTAATACTATAGGCCTATGGAAATTCCTCAAAAACCATAAACATCCGATATCTTGCAAATTCAATCATGGTGAGTTTGCTAAAGAGCACTATACTTTCTGGCTCCCTCATTGCTCTCTTCCCATAAAAATTGCGTTGACAGAACGTTTTGCACAATTCTCATCTATTTAGAAACTAGTTGCATGTCAGTCGTTGGTAAGCTACTTCTCCCTTCCAGAAGACACATGTCAACCTATTTACCTAGTCTCTCATGCAAAATAAGGAACTTGTCTCTACACATCAGACGCTCTTCCGTAGTGATGTAAAAATGACTTCACTACTCTGGAGTAGTAGTTCCTGATTGTCTCTCCTTACAATGATCACGAGCACTAAATTGTATAGAATTGCTTCCCAAAGCTATGCAAGAATTTCTTTTTCGACTTGGATTGCGCAATTCGTCTCCTCGACTTGATGAGAGGTTTACAATTATAACTCCCAGTAGTCTCGCCGAAGTTAGCAGTAAACAAGAAGCAAAGAAGACACGCGGGTAGAAGTGGGGCGTCAACATCAACGAAAACATGAAAATTAAGAGACAGGAAAGAGTCGTACGTTTAAGTAGATATAGGACACCTCTTCCAGCCAGAATACGAACAATGTGCAAAGAAACAGCGAACTCATCGCTGCCAAACATAACAGGTAGGTGTTCGTTGGAAGTCGTGACAGCATGCGATTGCTCCTGAAAGCAATGGATGAGATTTCGCATCATACGTCTAAGGATGCCATCTCTCTAAAATACTTGTTTTTCTCGCATTTATTGGACAAAATATAAGGCAGACGTGAGAAGGATTAGGACATTCAAAAAAGGCCTGTCAAAGATTCCTTATGCTCAAACCGAAACCTTTGAGTAACAAGTGAACCGTGACACTATGCGCATCAAAGCGTAGCTCGACTATTTAATAAGCACTGTTGTTCACTGTTGTTTTGAAAAAAGTCTTTCGCGTCTTAAATACCATCTGCGGACATGCGTCGAACGCACACTACTTCACAGTCGAAGAGGCAATTGTATGCGTGCGAGCTTAGCACAATGACCTGCGGGGGCCAGCCGGTTACCAACTCGAGTTTTATTCTCCCAGATTACTGTGGTACCAATTTACCAGGAGTTTAGAGCCCTTGATTGGCCCTGGGAAGGGATCGAACCTGGGTCATCCGGTCAGGCTAGAGCGGCGCCTCATACCCACTACTTCACTTGTCTCCCTTGCTGTTTTAGTACGTAGAAAATCTATGCTGAAGCAAACAACGATCAATACCTTCATTTCTAACTGTTTCGTATTACCAGTCTTTTGCTAGTAAAAGTGCATTTGGGAAGCTTTTTGCATTGAATGAAAGTGAAAAATTACGCCTTGTATTTGATACCCATTTGTATGCATTAAAGCACACGACCCAAAAACACAATTAATTTTGCTGCGAAAAGCGAAAAAATTCCGAGCTAGAAGACACCCAAACTCATGCACAACATAAACTTCTATAAATGGTAGGGAGCACTGAATAATTTCATTCAGTCGTAATGACTAAGTGACTGCGTGTAACATCTTAATTATAACTGCACACTATATATCATGTCGTAGAGCCCGCACAGACATGCGACTCATGAAAAAAAACATGGGTGACTCAAATAACGCATCCATGATTAAAAATCTCAAACTATGCGCAATACGTTCAACAACATACCACGGTTCTCTAATCTGACCAAAATGGACTTGGTAAAAAAAGATGCTATTGACAAAGTATCCAGAACACTATAACGCTTGTTGCCTCCCACTTGCAAACAAGTAATCTTCTTATCTGACTATGAAAAGCTAGGTCTCGAACCGCAGACGTAAGTTAAATTGTATTCTCGTTCGCACGTGGACTCTTATTGTTAGAACTAACGAATTTAAAGTGTCGATCTTATTTTCAGCAGCCATAAAACTTTGATTCGGGGAGTTACATACAACTGTTATGATATGAAGTAGCTCATGTAGGCAGGACACCTTCACAGTAATTTCCATCGGAATTAGAAGATTCTCTCATTCGCTTACTGATTTACTGCAGCTGGGATCATCCTCATTAGCGTACAAGATAACATCCCATTTTTATCAGGGTGGAAAGAACCTTTTTCCCACTTCCAATTATCCCAAATTATCAAGCACCCCACCTATGGAGAAAATAGCTTCTGCATACGAAACTATGCGCCACTGCTGTCAATAATAAACAATCCAAGATAATGCACTTACTTGATTAGTATCCAAACCATTGCATTCCCTGTGGAACCTACGAGTACGCAACATGGCATATAAATGAGGTAGAGTCGTTCAAATAACGTTTCTGACACTTCCATCAACAACTGACGTCGATGCTACTGAAATGCGAAAGTTATTTCAGAACTATTGTCGAGAATGCTTCCTGGAGGAGAGAACAGCAAGTAGTTGACAAAGGCGAGAACGAGCAGGTGTTAACGGAGATGTGGATAAATTATGGAAGTGTCAAGAATGTTTTTCGGCAAGATGAGAAGTCATAATGATATGAGTGTAGCTTCTCTCCAATGAGACGCAAGCTGCTGTATAATTATTCACTTTTTTAACGCTATAGGTCCAGAGCATGACAACAACTATGAAGAGCTTGAATTACAAGTACCACAGATAAGATCTGAAAATGAATAGAAGTTTACCAGGGATTTCCGTACTCGAGCAAGAGATTCGTGTGCGTTTACTGCTTTCATATTGTCGTCGTTATATGTGTCTGTGTTGAGCATGCCATCTCAAACATCTTGGGAAGTCGAGAAGTTCTTCTAATTTGTGCAGGTGTCATTTTTCATTTATTTTTAGGACATGGTATTTGAAAGCTACAAAGTTTTACTTCAGCAAAGTTAGAATGGGCCCGTACTAGCTTAAGCTTACTATCGTGATCATCAACTGCTTTTACGAGAATCTTTGCAAGTTGAGATCAAAGGCAATAGAATTGATGCTGGCAGCATGCAATTATCAGATGCACGAATTTAATGCGATATTTGATTTGAAAAAATTCATGCGTTACTGTCTTTCATGAATTGAACTCTAGAATAGCTCTAAAACTCTAGAACATTTGTTCAATCCGAAATAGAACGAGAAGGTTATGCATACTTCAAAAGAAGGAAAAGGTTTGAGACCTGGGAATGTTTTTGAATTTTTGGCTACAAGGCTGCATGAGAGAACGAGAGAGGAGAAAGAGAGAAGTTGTACCCACACTCAAGACGCTCATGTAAGTTCTGTCATGAAAGAATAGGACTGAAGTTGATTTGCTGGAAGATACTGCACAAAGTGCAAGTCCGAATCGAAATAGAAGTGCAGAATCAAAAAAAAACTATATAGGTAATGGCGATTTCGCTTTCTGATCCAGCAATAGCGAAACGGACAGGAACAAAAAAAGAAGAAAAAGGCTGAGGTAACGATGATGAGAACGAAAGTTCAATATTTTAATCCTACAGCTTCCATAGTGGAACAACTTCCAGTTTTTCACTTCCTTAATTCTGTTGTGTTGATTAGCGCAGCAGTTTTTGAAAACTTGACGTAGTCTGCATGACGACTGCCACATGAAAGCGGCTATAGTGATCGGGGAGATAAAGCAATGTTGCGATGACATATTCCACTTTGTTTTCCTCCTCAAACAATAAATTGAAGCATTTTCCTGTCAGACAAGATGAATGATAGCCTTGCGAGAAATCCCCAGTCACCTCTCGTGTCGCAGATGTGGGCAAAAAACAGCAGGGCCGTCCCGACGACAAAAAAAGTGAGTGCTGAAACGTCTTTTGACAGCTCGCTAGCCTTTCAAGCCCTCAATCTTTCTGGCTCTCAGTTTCAAGAACTTTCCATGCCTATGAGATTTCGAAAAGATTCAAGAAAGGGTAATAATGCAGAGGAATGCAGAGGCTTAAGAATTTGAAGCATCATCAAGGATGTTTCGAGCATTGATTTTTTTAATGATTAAATAAACTTGCCAACTCCCAGTCATAGTACACTCAAAAAGGCGCTACCATCGTTGAACTTTGAGTTCCTCAGTATGAGGAGATTTCAAAAGGCTTTCTCTACGATGAGCAGGTCGAAAATTACTTTACAACTTAAACATTTCTCAGCAAGAAACGATTGGTACTATCATTACATATGTGGGTTAATGCTCAAGACTGCACCAAAATCTTTGTAAACTCGTAACTTACCATTTTCACTTTAGTCATTTCAGTATGTTTCAGAGCAAGGAAATCATGCAGTATTGGTGATATTTCAGAGCAAAAATCATTTTGGTACATAACAGCATAGATGCAAGTGATGGAGAAAACACCCAAGTTGTTTCTGAAACTGAAAAGGTAATCGTCCAATTGTCTGGATGTTTTTGGTACTGATTTCATGAGCTATGCCTTTCCAACTAGGAAAGATTGTTGTAAAAATTCGGTTTTCTAGCAAGTAAAATCTTACCACGAAAATACGTAACCTGCAGTATACGGTACTGAGTGATTGTTATTTATTATATTGAAACATAAGTCTTGCACCAGAAATTCCAAAACAACACATTCAAAAATGCTTAAGCAGCCATTTCAATCTATTTCAACTTCAAATATATGTTCTTATCATGCATATTATTATAGAATGTCCAAAAAATGTCAAAAAAAACTCGAAAAAATAAATTTGAAAACCAGAGCACAATCTTCTTAAGAGATATAGCAGTCTTTTGTGTAAAAGGGCAGGTCTTCCAACTTCAACTAAAAGTGAAATTAAAGGTTGTTAGAACTTTTGACATTTCTAACGATCAAATTCAAAAAAATGTGAGTTTCTATTTATCACCTTTCATCGTTGCTTGCTATGAACAATTTTTGCTCTTAACATTAACAGAAAGTAATTTTTCTCTCTGTCCCATACTATATAGAAAGGATTCAGTGAATTTCGAGGTTTTACCGGCTTTTCAAAGTTTAGTGACTCTTGTTCCAAACTAATACTTTTGGAATAAATTTTGTATTGCTTTTGAAAGGCTGTATCAAAATAACAAAAACTAAGTCAAAGCATTGTTTCTCAGAAAGTATGCTTCAGCTAGGTCTTTTCTGCTTGTTGTGGTGTTTTTGCGAGCCTAATTCAATACGAATAAGATGAATGTATAGAATTGCATTGCAGCGACGAAAGTGAAAAAGTTTTCGATGCACTGGATGAGTGCAGCAAAATCACCTGCAAGAGCTCCGTGCTTGAAGGTGCCTGACTAGATTTGATGTGACGAATTCTCAAGAGATTTGACGGAGGTGTCACGGCTCTAATCTCGAGCAAAAGTTGATTATTAGTCTATCGAAGGGTTCTAGGTAGATGATAGAGCAGCGTGCCAGTCATTAGTTCCAATAATAGCGAAACATTGAGGAGCTGGAATACGGTTACGGAAGCGGAAATAACATGTCGTAATGGATAATGCTTATACATATCAGCTGTTGTTTCCCATTTAGATATTTAGAAGGAAGGTCTCGCCGAGAGTGAGCCGCTCATTCATTCCCATGATTCGAGAGAGCAGGACGTCAGGTAAAAAAGTCCGGGGTGGGCATTTCAAAGCAAAGCTCTAAAGCATGGCAGCAACTGGAAAAATGCGCAATAGATTATTCCAAGAATTTTTGACAATAAAATTCAACAGAACAAAAATTCGTGAACAACCTAACTATTAGGATGTCCCATGATTTTTCACCGTTTTTACTACAACCGTCGTTTCTTTGTATTTTTCCTTTAATTGATGTGGCTTGAGTTTTTTCGAAATTTGCATCAAAAAGACCAAAACATTGTTGCACCAAAACCAAGGAACTCTCATTTTGCAGGTTCTGTTTAAAGCTTGATGTGTTGTTTGATAATTGAGATAGGTTTCCCTGAATGAGTGCTGAAATGAATAATTGAAAAAGAGATGGGCGAGAAAATCCAGTCAAAGTGTCGTGAGTCCGCTCGAGACTCTTTTCCAAACTGTCAACAAAACAATGAGGTTGAAAACTGAGCATAAGTGAGTTTTACGCTGGAAGTAGCATGTGGTTGTCTAAAACGTACTTTGAAAGAAGAAGATGTATGAATGCTTCATGAGCTTGTCAAGCGGCCTGAAAAGAAAGTTCTGGGACTTAATTGCAATCATAAAATAAAGTTATCAGCGAAGAGAGAGGATGTTTGAAAGGGAAGAAATGTCAATGCTAGAGAATTAAGTAATCAGCAAATTCTTCCCTCAGCTCCTGCCTGGCCCATTGCCCTATGGCCAGACAAAGACTGCAAAATTTACTACATGACTCAACACTTTTTGAACACTATTTTCATTCCTTTGCAAGGTGTTGCAAAATTTGCAAACAAAATTTCTATCTCGAGCTTTGAGCATGCAAAACAAAGTCGATTGATAAAAAATCATAATTACGTAATTAGAAATAACTGAAAGATATTGGAAACCGACGAATGCTGCTCGTTGATGTGAGTTATAAGAATAAAAGTCATTGGAATTGCGTTTTTCACCAGAATGTTGCACCAAATAGCTGTTCTCATATAAATTTGCAGAATAATCTTTCTCACGAAAAACACTGAACCATAGCAACGAATTCTTTCGACTTTCTAAATACAAATTTTGGAGCAAAAACAAACGAAATTTAAGCTTTTAAACACTATGAGTTAGCGGGGCTTAGCTCCGGCATATGGCCATTAGAGTTCTTCTAGCTGTTGAAGAGTATTCGAATTGACAGAAATATGAGAAGTAGATAGTTTTGCTTTGCTTCTAGTCAGTGTTTGAGGCTCGTTCAAGTACAAGTAACTACGGCGCCACTTCATTATTCATCTAGATAATTACACATCGAAAACAAGGGCTGCATATATGTATAAATAATCTATAATTATCCCGCACAATTAGTGCAACAATCATTTGACTATAACTAACCGCGAACTGCGGCTACATGCACGTACTGTGATTCATGTAAAATTTTATTGTGCAACTCTATTTGTGGTAACACAGATATTAGTAACGTATTTGGTAACTACAAGAGTTCTCGTTTCTAGCACCAACTTGAGTGGACAGTAAATTTCGCGAAAAGAATTAGAAAAATGTGTGTGCGTTTAATGTACGTTAAATGCCATGCTGCCTCCTCTTTCTAGTGGCCGATAATGGGAACGGAGTCCTTAACCAATGTCAAAGCACATAACTGCAAAAAAACGTGTAATAAATCCATTCTACCCTACTTTTAATCAAATATTCATCATGTTAGACTTTGCACGATCAGCAAATGCTCTTTGTAAAAAACAACGCTCAGGCTTTGTGCGAAATGTTTTTCTCTGAATATGTGATTCTTGTTCAAAATTCATGGATGGTTTTGGAGTCTCGTTCTCCGATATAAGGCTAGCAAAGT